TGGCCACACTTGCGTCCACCGAGTGGCCACTGAGTGGCCGGCATATGACCAAAACCAACTTATGAAATGTCACACATCATTTTGGGTTAGAATTTTATTCTCAACTCAGTGGTGTTCTTAGTATTATTATTTTATATTAAATTATGTGTCGCATGCCATATGTTGGTTTTAGTCACATGCCGGCCACCCTGTGGACGTATGTGTGGCCAGATATCAAAAAATCATGTTACATATCAATTCAACAAGATTTTTTCTCCTGATTTCAATTCTGAAATTATTTTTTTCGTAAGACCATTTTTTAATGAGTTACGATTTCTATTTAAAATTTGAAAAAAATGAATACCATTTATTTTACCCTTAGAGCATCCTGAACGTCTCATTTGAAGCTCGGTAGAACTTTACATGGCACCTGTATATGTACAGGGTGATCCAACTAACGAGAGACACTCATTTTCTCTGAAAATATGAGCATTTTGAGAATTTGTTTTATTCCTATACTTTTTGGTACATGTTTTACTAGATTTTTCGATATTTTGAAAATTTTCATCACCAATCCTCGTAAGCCTAAAAGGGGAATTTTTTAATTTTTTTACCGTATTTCTTAATATTTTCAATCGTTTATCTATCATTGTTTCAAAATCTTTTACAGTGACTTCCTAGTTGTTAGAACGTTATTACCAATCGGACAATGCGAACATAAATATTGATTTTATGTGCTACCGGTTTTGGAAAACTAAAGAAATATGAGAGTTATTAAGAGGAAATGTATAGTATTTTTACAAAGTCAGGTTAGGATTTTAAGGAAACGGACCAAGGATTGGTGAAAATAATTGTCAAAATATTCATATTTTCAGATAAAATGAGTGTCTTACGTTTGTTGGATAGACCGACCCTGTTAGAATTTTAATACATTTTTTAATTCATCCAAATCTTGTCATAAAAAATTATAACAGATATTTTGTGTATAAAATACTAATTCTGCACGAGTTATACTCATTCAGCCTTATTTATATAAATATTATACCAATTAGTGCAATTGATGATATACAAATCGGTATCCTTCGTCGGGTACATCTTAAGTTAAATCGAATGAGGCGTATCACAGTGTTAACTAAACTGTGGTAATGCCAACCAATATGTCTTAGCGATCACACGGAAATGTAGTTGCATAGAATTATTATAGTTTTTTTATACTTGACTTGAGCTTCCCTATCGGTGACATTCTGCCAAGGCCGAAACAAAGCAGCGGAAACGAGCCGACAGTTTGTATATTATAAAACCGTTTCCGAAAATCATTAAGATCATCCAACAGTATAATATAAAGCGCGACCACAACCTTGACAGTAGTCGCATACGTAGAAAACCAAAAGATAACCAACCGAGTAGTATTGTCTGCCGTTGAAACAATGAAAGACAACCATCATTAGTCGAATTTTTTTGTTCACCGTGTATAATTGGCCGTTTATATATTATTATTATGTATGTGTGTCTAAAACACAACATTTACCGGGCTCGTTCGATTTTGTCCTTCCTCGTATGCGATACCAGCAAAGACAATGCAATTTTTGCATCTCAAATTGACGGAGAGAAATATATTTGGCGGTATAATCTCAAAGACCAAAGAAGAACAACAACAATGATATTTTGTGTATGAGGATGACCAATTTTGAAATTTGACAGTGGAATGAAATGATACGTCATGTTCAGAGCTGAGAAAAGGCAGAAATTGCAGTGATTGAGTCATGTTCTGAGGTATGGCAGGGCTTGTACAATTGCTAACAGAAGGATTTGAAATGGAAAACCCGGAAAGATGGCGGTGGCCATGAACAAATCTTGGCAGATGACGAGACGAAGACAAATTCATTGGCACACAACCTGAGAAGTTTAAATCCTTCTGAGCTCGTTCAGGCCCCAAAACAATGTCAGCAACCAAACAAATATAGCTGAGAACAATTCTGTGGGAGCTTTCAGTGTTTTTGAAAAGGGTTGGCCCTTCTTAGTACCCCTCTAGTTGCGCCAATGGACAAAGTGTGTCGATCCATAAATTAAAATCCGACTACTCCCCGGACGAACAAGAAGATAATCTTTGATGGCGAAACTAAAAAGGGATTACATATTTTTTGTATATATCGGATGATGCAGCTGATCGTGACTTGGGCAAGATATTAGGGTTTAGGACGAACCCAGTTAGTGGTTTTCGTGTATATATCCTTAACGCGGTTTGTTCAGAACTAAGAATCACCGTCCAAGTGCTGGACTGAGTGTGTGTGTGACTCGGCGAAAAAAAATGTATATATTTTCAAATCCATTAAGACGAATAATTATGCTTCTGGACGGCAAATTACACAGCTGGTATATAAGATGATATTTTCTCATGAAGCGTTTGCATCAGTCGTGAGAGTGTCACGTATACATGGTACGATCGCACAGATCAACGACGGGTCTCTTCTACCGAATCTAATTGCCGCTATCCGCGTTGTGTGGCAGCCCACGACTTTCATGTCTCGCACGTTTCTTTTTAATCGCCGCACAAGAAGAGACGTCATACGCACAATGTTCACATGATATTATTTTTATGGTTACCCGGCATTCCTGTGTGCTCCCCAGACAAGCCAACGGTATTCCCCGCGAAAACCCAGACCTCGTTTGATGCCGCAAACACATACACGCATACCTGTGTGCTGCGATTAGAAGACGATTAGGCCCCTACTCTTCTTGGGAGAGGCCAACACGGTCATCCGAGTCTACTAGCTAGGTAATGTCCGGTCGCACCAAAATTAAAACATTATATGTAAATTATTTATACGAACCGAGAAACGTTAAAAGAAAGTAAAATAAAATGCCAAATAATAATAAACTAACAAATTAAAAAATAATACAATCACTTATCAGTTATCACATATCTTATCAACCAACGAGAACGTTGGAATCGAGGTAACTGCTTTGGTAACCCAACTAACGTTTTGTTAACTTAACAAATAAAATTTAACAATAATAATGTTATGGCGAAACAATGTTGTTTTATATATCTGTGGTTAAGAGTATATTTAACAATAGTTGGTGATACCGGCTGTTTATCTTTTGTTAAATTTACAAGTATTACTCAATCGTTGTTTTATTAAATGGTATAAGCAGTAGCAGAGTTAATATTGTTATCATACAGGGTCTAATCAATGATAAACTGATAACACACATTTCCATTATCACCACTTTAACGCAAAACATTGATAACAAAATTTAACTATACATACATTTTTCAACAGCGATAAATGACTCGTGATAAAGAACATTTTTAACAACACATAAAACATTTTTAAATATGATTTATACGAGTTTATCTCGAGTGTAAGTATTTGGTGCAACCCGGCATAAGTAAATTACACAAGAGATAAACGAGAGATACATTAAATTTGACGTGTGCAGTGGTTAACGTCCACACTCGGTTACAGTAATCACAGAGATCTGAGACGATCCTGTCTTTGAACTTCTCCAAAAAAAAAAAAATTACAAATGGCGTTTAAAAAAACCGACTCGAGTATAATACTTTACAACTAGGTATAGTTGTATATTTTTTAAACAAGGACATCGTGTCCGCATTTACACATTTTATTACTTACTGTGGTTATAACGACTGGAAGCCTTCTAGCAGAAGGTAATGGGTATGCATCATGACGAATGATAATTATTCCGACAATGGTGTGCATTTTGGGGCAGCAAACGGTAAACCCTGAGTATTACTTACAAAGATAATGTTTAAAACAGCCAAAGCACCCAACCCTACCTAACCTAACTTTGATCCATTCAAAACATTTTTTATGAGGTTTAACCTACTAAATGATCTCTCACATTTAGCTACAGTTATCGACAAAGTCAATAGGACCGGTAAGCTATTTCCACATTAAGATATTCAGGACAATAAAAGGAATATGTGTAACTGATTGAAGTAGGTCTTAAGGTGTCGCCTTCTTCGATTTAGGTAAAAGAGAAATTCAAGTTGAGACTTGAAAATTGTTATTTTAAAGTTTAAAACAGAAGCAAAGTTTTACGCGGTTTATTGTTTTCAATTCATGTTTAAACTTTTTTTGTAAACTAAAACGCGTTAATAACTCGTCCTAATAATGTGAGATATACTTTGATTTTAACTTTATGTACTTAAAGAGCCTGGTTAGGTACATACGTTTTTATTATACATAATATATAGAAATTGCAACAATTTTAACAACAGTTTAACAGAATGAATAGTGGCGTTTACTATGTGAATATTTTTATTGTTTAACAGCATGGCGTCACAGTAAAATTAATTATTGTTGTTATAGCTATTACTATAACGCGTGACATGGCAAAATGTGTTGGTGGAAAATACGTGGTTTTTGTTGTAAGTACAAGCGGGGATTGAGTGTGTAAGGTTTACATCCTAAAGTTAAAAAAAATATAACCTTGCACGTTTCAAAAAAATTGTCTGTATGTGATAATATTTTCTCAAAGAAAACCTGGTTTGTCGACAACAAGACGCGGTATGATTAAAAATTGTCTGTTTCAACACGTGAATGCCCATTACACCCGTTTTGTGGAAAAGTTAAGTCACACACGTGAAAGCAAAACTCTGACTGTAGCCCGAGGGAACTATTATATTAATAATAATATAATACCTACTAGTATGCGATTACACTAATGGTGTGTGTGTGTGTGTGGAGAAATAAAAATATTATTATTATTATGTAAACGGTCGAACAAAAAAACCACGGCTCTTGGAATCAAAAAGTTGTGCATGAATTTCGCCATCGAAAACAAACCCTATCGACAGCTAATATTGTATAGATATATATAAAAGAGACTTGATGTAAGAATACCGCGGGCGATGCGGTTTATATTTCCTTGGACTACCATAAACGGTTCCCTCGACCTTCTTTTCGAGGTATATACGTACATAATTTATGTGTATATTTATATTAGCGCATTAACAATAGAATATTACTATTATGTAATTATCGTCAACTCACATTATTTTTTTTTTTAATCAAAATATGTAATTAGCCTCCAAATCCGCCGTTATTAAGTCGATATCCGACTAAATGTCGAACCGATGTCGCGATCACAGCAGCGGTTACAAGAACACTGTGCACTAATGTATACCATGGTAATAGTCGAAAACAAAACTAATCTTATATAATAAAATTAAAACTAAAACTGTAATTTGTATTATTCGCGGTTATAATAGTAATTATTATCGTGGAGAACGCCGTGGAGACTTAAACGACCGGCGGTATCGGCGTGAAGCTCATTACTGGCGCACGGTTACACGGCGGACAAGTGTGTTGTGAATGGCGCTGCCCTCGTGCGGAGGAGCGCCCTACCTGTCCCCGTCCTTCCTGGTCGCTGTTGCTTCATTCACAATATGGTTTGCGACGCCTACGAGACGATACGACGATGAAGTAAGTGCTCGCCGGCGAAACACATTTTCTTAACGCCAAACAAGGATTATTTGTAGTTTTATATACATTTCTTCAAAAACTTTATTATCGTTCGAAACAATGTTTATGTTGTTGTACCATAACGTTGTGGAAGCCGTCGGAGGAATTTTTATAAAAAAAATAAATGTTAAGTTACATATGAGGAGGAGTCTATTTTCAAAAACGACATAATTGGGTAAAGATTTTCAGGTTAGGTTCCTTGAGGATCGAGGATGATCCTCCCTTATCAGTAATTGATAAGAGGATTTTTATCAGTGTTTTTCTTATCAGTAATAACACTCACAATCACCCACAGATCTATATAAATATATAATAAACTAAATTGCTAACTAGCGATAAGAATTGAAGCCGACGGTCCGCCATTTTGGTGGGATTTATGTGTGTTATCAACGCATATATCATGTACCTGTATATATTTTTATATCAATATTATATAAATATATATATATATATATATATATATATATATATATATATATATATATGATTGTAATGTATGATTATAAATATATATTATTCTCGCGTGATGAGGTTCTAATTCCCACCAAGATGGCGGAAAATGGCTGCTTCAATCTTCTCTATTGGTGGCATGTACAGTTCGCAATCTAGTTTATTATATATATATCTGTGCGAACACCCTTTTTTAAGCCAAAAAACCCTTATCACTGATAACAACTCACTGATAACAATCCTTTTATCAATTACTGATAAGGAAGGACGATCCTTACCACTTATGCCCTACTAGACTTTACTTTATGATTTTATAATAAATATTTGTGAAATAAAAGCTCTGAAGTGCATACACGACGTTGTGTATGAAGATTTATTTTAAAAAATGATTATTATTATTATTATTTTTTTTTTACCAGAAAATATATTTACAATCTATACAGTAAGTACATTAAGCAAATGTGATGAAAAAATTATATACATGACATTGAAATTAACGTTTACGGGCAGTCACTCGGAAAGTTAATACATTATTTTACTTTCTATTGAGTTATTGTAGAAGATCTCTAGGCCATCTTCTGGGAGCATTATCGGGAAGAGAGGCCGAGGATAGTTGCTTGATTAGGGGACTAGGAAGAGTATTTATGATTGAATGGAAATTTGAGTACTGCGAATTTGCTAATTGGTAGAGTGTTGGTACGTTTAAATCTTTGTGCAATTTTTTATTTGTGACATACCAAGGGCAAAGGTCATTAGACGCAAGACGTTCGACTGGATAGTTTTAGTGTTTGAAGGTTTGGCTGTGTCCCATAGTGGTATGCTGTTGGACCCAACTGGACGGATTAAAGATTTATATATGATTAGTTTTTTGAAGAGAGCTTATATATAAGTAGAGGTCTGAGAAGATGGATCAAGTGAGTTTTTTTGTCCAAAGTAAGACTTAACTGCGTTTGCCGTTTGAAAGATTTGATTGATTATTATTACAAGAATTAAATAGATTTATAATTTTTATGTAGCTGGTATGGTTGTCGATTTCGTCCTATGGCTGTGTTTGAAACTAGCAATTTAAATGTTGTATTCACATATGGCCGGTTTTGAAACAAACATTGTCTGATGGGTAATTTTGAAACCAACCACAATTTTTCATTATCAGTTATGTTTGATGTTCAATATTTTTACAAACCGTGTGTAATACAGTGTGACCGTTTAGGAAATACAAAATAATCCTTTTTGAAAAATTCGTCTTTTAGCTGGTTTTGAAACTAGACGCCTCAAAAATTGTTTCTGTATGTGTTTATTTTTCCAAACCAATATTAATAAAGATTTAGTGGAAATAATATTATAACCGATGATGGAACTGTAAATTTGATGTTGGGCGGATTATGTACATAATATATTTTTCCAACGAGTTTTTGTAGCATTTTTGTTCTAATCTACACAATATTATATACTTTTTTAACAGTTTAATAGTTTTTGTCGTTTGGTTTTTATTATTATGTAATAACTGGCCGTGTAAAAGAACCAGTTATATTAATATGATGTCGACTTGTGGAATGCAATTAAGGCGGTTGTAAAAATGCGACGAGGTGACGTTGTTTTAGCGTAGGAAGGAATGTTTTCGTTTTACTCAATAACGTTTTTGCAAATGAATGATATTCTATCATTGTGTTGGGGTTTTTTGCTTAATTATCCAACGAGAGTCCGTCAGACCGAACGGGGTGTCGTTTTACAGATGCTTATAATACACAGTAGGTAGGTATAAAAAAATATATCAATTTACAACAGCTTTTTGAACCGTAGTATCGAATAACGTGCTTAGGTGTATTAGTTGACGAAAAACGACATTTGGTAGATGTATATTTAGGGGCACGTGTCTCGAAATTCTCAATAATATATAGAATAACAAACAAACGTTTCGGAAACAAGTCCACAGGGTTGAATAATAAGGGAAACGTTAGTTTTGGTGTTTCATACTTGAAGAGAGTCTGTCAACACTAATATATTGTTACAACTAAATAACCTTTTTTTGTTTGCCAAAATTGAAATACATTACCACTGTACACAAGTTTATGTCTTTACAGCTGTTTACTTGGACGAAAATTTCTGAAAATTCATCTTATAAGATAAGAGAGATAAGAGATAAGAGAGATAAAATGTCTCCCGTGATAGCGGACTGGTACGCAAGCTGTTTTTTAATACGATTTTATCGTAGTTATTTAAGTAACATCTTATAAATGGTCTAAGAAATAGTATTTTATTACAACTGGCAAGTATATTATTATAAGTCGAGCAGATTGAATTTTTACACGGTCTAAAAACTTTCAAGCGCTATTCATATCGGCTGTACAACGCAGGTTAATATGTTTTATTTGCTTCCTACGTGTAGCAACTATATTGTATATACCAACTATTATTATTTAGTTCACAAGTACACCACGATAAAATAGTATTTAACACGATATTTCCATCGCTTACTGACCTTCCTGTCACGGTTGTTTGCTCTTGGTTTTTTAATGCCTACCTACCTTCTTCGAAGCACAGCCCATGTAAGATTGTGGCTTTCGCTGTTATAAGCATATTCGGTTTATATATATAAAATATAAATACAGCATACCCAAGCGATTTGTTCCAAATCTAATAACGTTAAATCTATTACATTGTATATATGTATTTAGTTCTTTGAAACCATCAGGCCTCGGAATCGTCCCACATAAAACATCTGGAATCAATAAGCGCAATTATCTACTTACCTTGTATGCGTTAGATTTTCGGTTTTTTCCCTCCTGTCCTCTGTAAATTGAATATTATTATTATTATTTTTGATAGAATATAATTTTTTGTTTGGAAAACAGTTTAAAAGTTACTTGTATAAGTTGTACTGTCAAAGTATCATAATTCTCTTCATTTAAAGTCTGAGTGTAAAAACACATACAAGACATACATAACAGTATTAAAGAGTATTTTTTCTCTCAAATATATTAAAAAAGCCAACGTTTTAAGTTGAAGTTAGACTAAGAATTGCACAATATATTGTTATATCATTATAATTTAAAAAAAAAATCTATACTTTGCCATCTATTTGACTCTCTTTAGTTTATACCAATCATGTCTGTAGATTTCAAACACTGGTTTGGTTTTTTAATTTAAAAGTTGTAATAAACAGGGTAAACGTTTTTTAGTAGGTTTTAAAAGTTCTATTATTTTAGAATATTGGAGTTTAATGACCATAGTATATTTTTTGTCCATCTCTTATTATAGATTATTATTATAATAAGCATCACAAGAGTGTAATAGTATTGTAATTTTTACATTGGTCGGTCGTGATTCGCCCGATTTCGGTGTTAATATAATTATTGGGATGATATTATTATTGTATGTATGATGTCTACCTACTTATTAGGGCTAGGTCTACATAACGGACCTGTCAGGTCGGGGTTACAGGTGAAACACACTTGATGAGAAAACACGGCATAGCTAAATAATGGGTACATTTTTTTCTTTCTTAACGACCGTTTACTTAAGCAGTTTGTAAGACACAATAATACCGTTTTTCGGAGACGCTAGACCCGGAAACGCGATTACCAATTGTGTTATTTTTTTTTCTTTTATTTCCATCTTCTCTCTATTGTCTGTGCGTGCGTGCATAGACATATTATATTATATATTGTATTTTTTAACGCTATTAAGCTCGGTCGGACGAACACGGCGGTGAATCCATCCAAAACGGCCAAGACAGCTGCTGCAGTTGAAGAAAATGGATATATCTGTCTACCTATTTTCAACATACAGGGTGTGATGGTAGTTAAAACGTGAATGTCTCAAATTGTAGGACTAAAGTCAGTTGGAATACCATAAATACCGTTATCAATATATCTTGGTGATAAGAGTATCAATACGTAAAAACTGTTTTTATCACATAGAGTACCAACCGCAATAACGATGTGGATTTTTTTGTCCTCTTGTGTGGCCATACTGGTTTTAGTCCTACTGTTTACTTCACTATCGCATCCCTAGTTTTACAACTTAATAATTATTCAAAAGTGGTTATCGACAGTAGTCAAAATATGCAGTACTTTATTCTCAGTTTGAAAATTAAATTAAATATTTATCTTACCGTTTAAGTTTCAAAAGTCAGAGTTTCTTTGAATCTCAGTGTCGTCCAATGTGATTAATAGCAAGCAGTTTTGGTTTACTCTGCAGAATTTTCACACCGGATTTTTGGTAATGCTGCGTTTCACTTTTTGACAATTATTATTACAGCTGCATAGGCCAGTGTATTGTTTTTGATAAAATGAATGATTATATATTGTTATTTTCTATTCAATTATTATTTTGGGACCACTAGTTATAATATGGAAAAGGAAAACAATAGCGCACCAGTACTGTAACGGTACAATATAAATTTGAAACAATACTAGCTGCAATGTCGTCTCACATTCGGTTCACAGAAAGTATCCGTTTTGAAGTGTTCGTTCATTAATTATTATTATTATTGCCATTATTCGACCTACAAAACACTGTGTTTGCATTATATATCCAATTCAAACGGGCTTTGTACGCATATAATAATACATTGTAGGTATATCTGTAGGTAAAGGTAAATATTTCTATGACTAGGTAATTGTATAGGGGCCGCAAAAGTATATTTCCAGGTTAGTGAAACTTTAGAGGTTAATAACAATTATTGTTAAATGGTTGTTCTGCACGAATCTACTAACGTCGTAACAAGTCGTTTAAAAATCAAAATTACATTTAAATTGAACTATATAAACGCTTCAAAGGGAACACGCACAAGTTGTTATGTGATATAGGCAAACCGTGTTTTGCTATAGGACTATCTATAATAACACAACATACTGCGTGGTACCTATTCACTGATCATTTAAGACTAATAAGCAATATATTGTTAAGTACCATAATATAAAACGTTCAGTCAATATTGTATTAATAGTTTAAAGAGTAAAGTTTCGGTTTAGTTGTGGTTTTAGTGGCTCACTTTATGTTTTTTTGGGGTGCTTAACACAAATCTGAAGTTGTCCAACAAAATCATTCACTGCAAATCATCAAAAAACGCTAAACATTTTGGTTTTCGGCTTATTTCTTAAAAAGTAGGCTTTTTACGCAAAAGATAGTTCTATATAAAAGTAAAGAATAGAAAAATACCTACAATTCAACTACATATTATGTTTTTCTGCGACTTATGGTTTCCGAGCAAGAGGGCGTTGAAAATGAGGAAAGAACTAATAATTTTTGAAAAAAAGCGAAAAACACATTTTTTTTTTATAGCGATTTTCCTTTCATAACACAAAAAGTAAGCATTTCACTGTAAACATTATTCTATACTTAAAAAAGCGGATAAAATTCTCTACGATTTTTGTTTAAATAATATAATTAAATAGTTAGCTGCCTAACCTAACGTTAAAAGCTATCCATGGTTGATAAGTAAAAAAACTGTGTATTACAATAAACCTAACCTAACAATATAAAATTATTTTATTTTATAACCACGGTTTAGTACCTAAGAAAAAAACAATTTTACACTTTACTCTCCGAGTTGTTTCATTATTTCTCGCGAGTCGTGCGACGTTTTTAGACTTAATAATAATAATTAAAACATGTGTTGTGTAAGTTTAATGTTTTATTAAAAATAATAAATTATTTCGGTCCTAGCTGTGTTATGCAATACCGAACGCCGTGAATGGATAAGATTGTAAAAAAAAAAAAACGTACTAGAGAGGAGACGCTCCCAGCTAAGACGAAGGTGGTGGCCGGTTGAAAAAAATAATGGTTTAATGCAGTCAAGGTAAACTTGTTTTTGATTGTCGTGTGTTCCACAAATAGAGCTAGCAATACAGCAGCCAATCGTTTTATACTTTTAACTGTTTAACCGTGTTGCCCGGATCGGATAGTGCCTAATTTGTTTTTCGTGTGTGTGTGTGTATTAACCTACATAATAATACATTATAATATTATCATTATTGCACAGCCACGAGTCACCCAGAATGGCTGTGTTCCAGTGCCAAGTAACCGAAATTCTGGTAAAGATAGTAGGCAAAGAAAAATATGTGTCGTTCGTTGTAAATGTCAATATTATCTCCTTGTAATATTGAATTTTGAAAACAAACAACAAGTATTCATTTAGGGTTATCTGTTTAAAATGAAAGATATGACTGAATGTGAATGCAAGCCAAAAAATATGTGTATTTAAAAAAATTACAGTAACTCCACTTTTACATATATATTATCAGCTCTATTGGGAATTTTTGAAAGTCAACGCTAGCCGTCATTTGGTTATCTTGAATAGGTATTAAGACCAGACAAGCCAGAAAATCGGTTTTGACATGCTGCATTTTCTAAGATTGAAAAAAATGTGAAATATTTGACAAATTTTCATTGATTTTAATTTTGGACACAATTTAGCAAAATATTATAACAGTTAAATGTGTTTAGCTTAAAATTTGAAGTAAATCTATATTGACTGAAAAGCATCATGTGTCACTATTCTTAATCCATTAATGTTTTATAACTATACATTGTCGGTTAAAAAGTAATAAAAAATATATATATAAATAACATAAGTTGTTATATTAATTACAAATTCGTGTTTTTTTAAAAAATTTTTTTTTTTGTCGGCTGTAAAAACAAAAATGTGTTAATTTTTATCTTCGTTATAACGACAAACTGCTTGGAAGTTTTTTTTTTGTGTTTACAAGTTCAACCGCATTACTAAAAGTAAACGACCTACAATATAGTTATGACAGTTATAAAAACGATGAAAGCTATCTCATCAAAAGTTATAGCCTAGTTTAAGACATAAATTATAATATTGGAATAACAAATGAGTTGTATTATCTAAATTGACGTTATGAGAAATACAACTGGCATTATTTATTTAAAAAAAAAACCCCTATTTCTAACAGTGTTTATTAGTGTTATTAACTTGCAATTGTTCATCAATTTTTTGTAAGAGATATAAACTTTATTTACTCTTTTGATATTCACCTCTTTGATTGAATTCTGCACACCTGTCACCAACTCTTAGAATTATTTTCGTTGCTAAAAAAACATGTAAAGTAACTTTGTTGTAAGACAAGGAAATAAATTACAACAAATTAATTCACTTACCCTGTATAACCCAATTAATTGGTACAAGCCTAAAAAATATATATTTCATTGCCTTGTAACAGTCTAAATAGTATTTTACATTGAAGGTACCAAAAAAAAATTTTGTTATAATATAATCCTTGATTCGAGTTGTATGTTTATTTCAATGGAAATGTATTTGAATGTTGTCAAACTTGATTCAAATAAACATGTGAGAAAAACATTTAACAACCTCGACTCATGGGCTGTAGTATCTAATATATCAATAACACAGTTAAAACTTGCAGTTTTTTACATTAACTGTAAAAAAAAAATTTTAATTGTGCCAAGATCGATGCCTTGAAAATGTTTGTGAAGAATTCAAACGTTTTTCATAACATAAATCGCAATGTTTTTAAGTAAGTTCTCTTGCCTATACAATGCGCCTTAATAAATGCAAGTATACACGCTACTTAATGGTTAAAAATGTAGGTTGTGATTTAAAATTCTTGAACAACTGGCAATGTTTGTGATATTTATAATTAAATTTTTGTAAAAAAAAATAAACATCTATGTGCCGAGATTAAATCTGGGTTAGAACAACACTAGTTGATTGGGTTTTCCAACTTTAGGGGAAAAAAAGCAATTACAATTTTTAATCGATACTAAAATTCTAAATATAATTATAATATTCTAAATTATAAATAGCAGCCATTGCTCGACCCAGACAACTGACAAGTCATATTTTTCCATTTTGTGTAAGCCAATTTTAAAAGCATATCGGTATAATTACACCAATAAATTGAGCTTACAAGATAATAGTAGATTGTTAAAAATCACAGTAAATAGCTGTTTGTATATATATTTATTAAGGAGGCTCTACACTAGCAATTATTAAGGCGCATTGTATAGGCAATTTTTCACTAAAACAACATGATAATGGGTATGCAAAAGACGCTGTGTTATTATTCCAAATAGATATTAAATAACAGCTTTGTTCATAAAATATTATTTTTTTAATTTTATTTGTGTACAAAACCAGAATAGACATAGACTAGAACAGTGTATATAAATTAAATGTTATTATGGTCCTATTTGCGTTTTAAATTTGAAAAAAAGTATATAAAAATATATCCTTCTTTTCTATGGTAATATGTACGTTTAAAAATACTAGCTGAATGTTAAGGTTTAGTTACAAATCGCTTATACAATGTGCTTTAATCAATTCCAGTGTGAATGACCTTTAAGAAAGTATTGTGTATGTACTTGAAAACTAATAAAATACCATGATGATGTCATTTATGTGATTATCATCAATAGACATTGCTTTGGAGAGTGTGATTTTTTGCAAAATCATTAACTATAATGTGTATTTAATAAATACTGTCAATTAGTCAAAAAAAACTATTGTTCAGTTATTGACTCTTTTTCTTGGTACCAAATTATTAAAAATTATACATCATTGTTTGCAAAAAGATTTTTTTCTTTCATTTTTACCATTGATGATAAAACTCCAAAGCCACCATTATGGGTAAAACGTATTCTACCTAGTTAGGTTCAATGATGCAAGTCTTACTAAGTTTTAATCAACTAAAATATTGTCATCTGTCAGAAACATTGTTTTCGGGTTTCTTTTTTTCCATAAAAACAAATGTTGACTACTGTTTTTTTACACAATATGTTATAGGTATTACGTTAGACCTATCTTCGTACTAATTTTCAGCTCTTAAATCGTAAAATTGCGTCTGAAAAATAAAAATAAACACTTCCATATAATAATTATCCACGGTAATAATAATATTATGGCAATATATATTATTATATTAAATAATTATTATGGTTATTGTCAAACATTTTGATTCAACAGTTTCTTAACAATTTATCAATTCACTAAACCTAATTAACAAAAAGGTAAAATACATAACTACTAGGCCGTAACAATATATCTCATTAACTGCGTGTAAACACAATATATATATATAATATACATGTATCTAATGCGAGAATAGATCAATACAATAAATATAGATAGATGAGTATGAATATCGACAGATGTATCAGAAACTATCACATTCAGACAACAAAATTATTTATACTTAAATATCATTATAACAATATTAACATCTTGGTATTTCCATCGACGAAGGGATGTTCAATGGAAATACACATATTATAGTAGGTAGTATAGGAATATTTCTACAGTTGTATAAGTCTCTTATACGTTGTATTCGGAAAAAGAAATCTCCAAGAACATTATACAATCCAACGACCACATGGGTTCATTTGTTAGCATTTCTTGATTTTGCCGTTTCAAATCGTTTGACGCCATTTCATACCAGTTCGATAAACTCGAAGTCCTCGTCAGAACCTGCAAAAACAATTTAATTTTATATTACACGTGAAAATGGATACTAAAAAGGGGCAAAAAAAAAACAAGACAATTCACTTTAAGTTGAAACTAATATGCTCTATCATTATTACCAACTAAGCGTTCTAGTATAACACAAATTAGATAATGAAAAGAATTATTATAATAAAACATATTCAGCAGGTTTCACCGACTATTATTACGAGTAAATACACTTTTAACATAATGTTAGTTAACAATATTCATTTAAATTTAACACATCTGGTTAAATTAAGTAAGTTTCACCAAGACATTATTTTTAATAAATTCTATTTGTTAAGTTAACCGTTAACGAAATGGTAGTTTGGTTACCAAAGCGGTTACCTTAATTCCAGCGTTCTCATTGGTTATCGCGAAATGTGGTAACTGATAAGTGATAAGTGATTATAATTGTATAATCAAAACAACTAGTACAGCCGATATATTTAACAACTAGTTAGTGAATTAATCACCCGAAATAGGTTGTTAAAAAGTTAAACAGCAAGTTAAATCCTTAACAAATGTTGGTGAAATCGGCTTAAATAAATATTATTATTTGATTTCTGGCGTACATTGCATTGGTCAGTTTATAACAAGTATAAGAGGACGCCTTACAAAGGTATTGATAAAAGTAAATCCATCTCCAACTCCAACTCAACTTCATCCCCATCTCTCTACAACAGCTTGCGTACGAGACCAACAACCACGGGAAACATGTTATCTCTAATCTCTTATCTCTGTTATCTTATCAGATAAATCATCTGATATTTTCGTTAAGTTTTTTTCCCGTCGATTTTCCCCGGTTGTGCTAAAGTAAAGACATAAAAAAATGTCAAAAGTTTCAGGGTACGCGGGAGTTGTTGAATATTTAGACTTGAATTCAAGTACGAGACTGTTCTCACCCCAACCCCATTCCATCCCTAATCTCTTTTCTCTTATCAGATACCAGCGTAACACTTTTTTCGGTTATGTGCCTGAGCTAAGACATGAAAATGTCAAAAAAACCTACATTGAATCACTAGAAAAAAAAACATTTATGAAACACACATTGGCCGTTTTCGATGCATTACCTTGTTTGTGACGGCGAAACACTTGATTCTACTTTCGGTGTAACTGGCATAGTTGTACCATCTGGTATTATGTGCAGCAGCATTACTGTCGTCGTTGTAGTGCACGAATAATTCCACCGTGATAACGACAGTCGGTGAAGTCAACATGACTTCGCTGACGATATCCAAAACGTCTGGTTTGATTGCTCTAAAGAACTCGGACGCAGTCGTATGTTGTGCCCGGTGTTTGGGCAATAGTCTCCGACGACCTTTTACGTCGGATTTCCTATGCGACGTCTCCAAGTGTTCACTGTAGTAGTCCCGGTTGAAGAAGTTATTGCAAAGCTGACACCGCATCAGTCGCATTTTTGGGATTTCTACACAAAAAAAAAAAAATTTTAAAAAATACTTTATTTGAACGGTAGGGGAATTGCGACCACTTAAGTGGGAATTGAAATATCTTTGCAATTATAAGTCCAGAAATTCCGTTCTTTCTTGAAATCAAACTATATACTTGTTAGGTGTTATGCATATGTTTCAGATTTTTTTTAATTAAGTTAACTTTTTTTTTTTTAACTGCGAATGACCGCCATTACCCCCATATAGCTCTGGGTAAATACCAGTCGCCAAAAAACACATAGGGAAAAATTTTAAGTTCCTGAAAAAACATACAAATTATGATCAAAATATCATGTTATCAGTACAGACCTATTGTACAACGATATTGTTCAAAGACATTGTATGTTTAATGGAAATGTTAGTTAGGTAAGGTTATTACATAAGTTATGTTAGACCGTTATTACCCCATCAGTTTTTACTGGTAATTACCCCTATCAGACTTTTTTTTAAATGCATGTATTTACTTAAAAGCTGTAATATTTAGGTATATTTTGAGCCAATAAATGCAACCCTTGCCAGTTTGTGATATATTAGGAACAGTCAATATAGTAAAAAATTGGAAATTTGGAGGGAAAAAAAGTTTTTTATCATTTTAAAACATCTGGTATTAGGTTCTGGTAACAACAGTTATCAAATTGCGTGCTCGTCTAAATTTTAACTATCATATTTTAAGAGATATTCTATTGGCCGGTATTACCCACTGACTGGTATTCCCCCATTCTCCCCTACAGGGAAAAAAAACCAACAAAGTAACTTTTTTCTAATCAAAGAAAAACATGTTTAAGTAATGCTAAAAAATATTCAGAACTTTAAAAAAAATTGTTTGTTTATAACTGTGCTTAAAAATAAAGATCAGATTCGATTTGTATCAAAACGAATTTTATGACAAAAAAAATGCCATTTTTAAAAAGTGACTGCTGGGTTTTTCCCTGTACCCTTTCATTTATACGTTATTTTTACCAACTACTTGAAATTGCAAATAAAAGTATCAACGACAAAACATGCCGTCGATACATTTTTATAAAATTATTTTTATGACTAAGAAACCAAAATTAGAACATAAATTATTACATACACCACTGTATTGTGCACATTTAATTTAAGCTAAAAACATATATGATTACAATAACTACACACTACATACCTGGCATAGTGTTCTCGGTTGACTCGTTGGAAATAGAATTTGCCGGCATATTATGGATTACAGTAGTTTTGTTAGTAGACAGATGAACAATATCTATCAACGATTTGACTACATCAATTTTTAAACAAATTATTCCCTCCAACGACCAACGCGACCTTTGGAAATTCTCAGTTTGATACAGAAACGAGTTAACGATATCCTCATACAACCAAGCTATGTTAGTTTCACCGGACATTACCTGTACAAAAAAAAGAATAGAGTCCTAATTACTCAACTAATACATACACATCACAGTCTGACCTTTAAATTAAGATTTTGCAAAATAAAACAGTTGTTTTTGTTCATGTCGATTTTTATGATTAAAAAATTAAATAATTTGTATATCCCACGTTTGAAACTAAAATTTGTATTCCTTAATGAAACCTGTCCCAAGCATAAAAGTTTTGAATTTAGATACATATCTACAAATAATTGTATCATCTTGTCTTGTTTATGGCTAGAACCATATTTTGTTTAAATATTTTAGAAATTTCATCTCCAACATTCCCAAACTAAACCTGTCCCAAGTATATAAGTTTTGAATTTAGATACATATCTACAAATAATTGTATCATCTTGTCTTGTTTATGGCTAGAACCATATTTTGTTTAAATATTTTAGAAATTTCATCTCCAACATTCCCAAACTAAACCTGTCCCAAGTATATAAGTTTTGAATTTAAATACATATCTACAAATAATTGTATCATCTTGTCTTGTTTATGGCTAGAACCATATTTTGTTTTAACATTCCATCTCTGACATTCCCAAACCCCTAAAGCCAAAGGGTTATCCAATCTTTTTAATAAAAACATGTTAATCTAAATAGAAATGTGTTTTAATAAACAAATATTTTGGAGAAATGGAGGGAAAACTTTAAATTTGACGTCACCAAGATACGCCCAACAGCTGTTGTAGAATTTATTCATGCATAATGTCCATACCTACCAAAAAAAAATGATTCTTACCTTGTTTTTAACACTAAATTGTTTGCCTTCGGCTATGTTCTTACTGTCGTTGGACTTTTCGCGGTACAGCGCAAACAGGGAAACATCCACTTCGACGGCAATGTGTTCTTCGACCACGTGGTTGACCAAGACGGTAAACTCCTTTTGTCTGGAATTCAAAAACTCCAACATGGTCGAACACAACACGGATGGGAACACATAATAGTCGTCGAAATCGATTTTATCTTTGAAAAAAGCAACCTTGTGGTCGACTGTCTGAACGTGAGCCTGGTAATAGTTAAACCCAACGTCAATTTCACAGTGAGGGCAATGAATAGTCTTGCTTTGATTGGTCTTGTTGGCATCTATTACTATGGAAAATTTTTCAAAAAAAATCAATATTACCCTACAAAGGGTGCTGTGTTAGTACAACTGTATTTTATCAAAATCACATTAAACTCGTATTGCAAACGTATTTGTTTGTCAGTTAAAATTGTTCTTTGTTTTCATAATGCCATGTCATCTCTGTTGCACTAACAGTGAGGTTTTATCTTTTATGTGGTTTGTCATTGAGTTGCACGTTTTAGCTAACGTTTGCACGTTCTTTGAATGTTTTATATTACTACTAACGCGAAATTGAGATTTTATACATTTAAGAACAAATTTATTAGAAATAAATAAAGTTATACCGCACAGCCAAATTGCAAATAACCGGATAAATAAACCTAAATTATCGAAAACTCTATAGCTTTAAATGAGCTTTGCAGTTATACACATAAGATTTGAAAAATTAAAACTTAATTTCTACTTCAGCCTAAGTAGACAAGTCACTTGTCGTCTGTTGAATCTAAACTAGGATTTTTACTCAAAAAAAAAAAAAAAAAAAATGGTTTAAAATAAAATTATATTTCCTTGCTAGTAATAAAGGACATTGTTGTGTATGATTTCTTTGTGTACACTATTTTTGATACTTGATGTTTCACTGACAGATTTCACAAGATAAAATTGTAATGGGTTGGAATTAAATTAATGGGCTATTATTTTTTTTAAGATTAACCACCTCCTGTGGCTTCAAAGAATAAATATGTATATTTTTAAGCAAGATTATTCATTTAAACCGAACAGTGAGCCCTCTTCTATTCAACATTACAGATTTGCCACGTCGCTTCTTTGAACAAGGCACGTCTCGCCGCCACAAAAAAATGTACTTAGCAAGCAAACCTTGTAAGTTACAGCGTTATGTTATGTACAGTGTGCGACATGGAAAACTCGAAATAAATAACATTATATAAATATTTGAATATTCCCATTTAAAGGTAACGTAAAATAAAGTTTTCTTTTCCTTTTTATTCTCAATTGTAATGGTCGCCGGTTGTTAGCTTAGATAGAACCAGTCTATTCGCATTTTTTCGCTGTCGGTATTTAGATTTAAGTAGAATTTAATACACTTCACGATACTGAATTAATACACATGGATTAAAAGCCTAAACCGACAACAAAACACTATGCATATTGCATGAGGAGGCCAACCCTGGGCATATAAACTACTAATATGCACTATACTACTTGGGTTAGATACACAGTCTCTAAAAATAAAATGTGAAGTTGACCAGCTTAATTGTGATTTGAATAACGTGAATACGTTTTTAAATTACAATTTTTAATCAATTTAAGAGTAATTTAGAAACAAGTAGTTATGACTTCTCCATAGTAGTATTACAAAGAATACCATTTAACCCATCGCCTCGCTTCAATACTTAATTTACACAATTATAAAGAACTTTTTAAAACACCTAATGATTTTTAATCATTTTTAATTCAATAACTATATCGGTAATATATAAATGACTTATTGAAATTATCACGTTTCTTATATAGATTTGGAATTTTAGTATAAAAAAATATACCTAATAATAATTTAACGAATTAAAGTTTTTCAAATTTGGATTTTACATTATTGTAATTTGTTTATTACTTTGGTAGGCCTGTGAAAAATTGCCGCCCTCAATTACTAGACAATTAAATTTAATTAGGTATAAGTAAGTCGAACAAATTTTATTTAAATGCTTAAATACTCGAGTTGAAATATTAAAAATATGAACAAGTAATAATACTTTTACTTATTCATATTTTTAATGTTGGTTAGGTATAATATATTCGAACATGATAATTACTAATTAGACTACTGATTTACGTCGACATTTGGTTCTTGTATATGTGTTAATTAAATTTGTTTAAAAATGTGTCGATATTAAAAAAATATTTCAATATCTAAAGATTTTTCTCTTAAATACTTGCAAAATTGATACTCGATGGTGTCACTAGTGTTAAGTAATCTATGTCGATGAAAAAGTATTGTCCAAATCACTGGGATATATTATTTTTTGCAATATCTCAGCGCACTCAAGTATATTCAAATAATTTAAAGATGTAATTTTTAGCAGTGCTTTGAATACATCACAAAACGTTTTGCAAGACTGCAGTTGTCTTTTGTCAAGTTCATTTTATCAATAATAACGTTAAACGTTTCTTAACTCAGTTTGTAAGTGTAATTTTTTCTTTTTTTTGTCGAGTTGTATCCACATTGTACTCGGTAAACTTTGATATACATAGTTTTAGCTTTAGTTTCATATTTTTTTAAATTATCTAATGTACCATAGATGAATTGGTGATGCATAAATTTGAAAAACTTTATCATTTCCAATTTCAACACATTTATTGTGATTGCAATATAAATATTCGTACAACCGCCACGTGTTGGTAAATACTATAGATTGTATTATTGACTAAATTGTCATTCATACATTAAAATATACTACCTATTGATCGCTCACTGGTCGACTTTTTGACGGCAATAAGAAACAATAAAATAATAATAAATCAGTCTATAATTTATTACCAACGCTATTGTTGTCAAAAATAGTAAAAATAGATATCCTGTTGGCTGTTGTGATGTAGCTATTAGAATAATATACCTACATAATATATTTTACAATAACACAAAAAAACAATATGATAATAATTATTATCGCCGAGTCAATATGCAATACCTCTACTATCAATATTGAAAACAAAAAATTGCCTCTATTACTTACAGCTGTTTATCTCTGAAATTTAATTAAAAAAAAAAAAAACATTATAAAAAACCAGATGGACAAAAAATCAACGAATTTTTGCTTGTTTTGTCTACAACTTGACAGAACTGAATTTTTATAACAGACACAATATGATCATTATTTGACCACTGAACGGATTTCTTTGTATTCATAATCTATGGATAAGAATTAGTACACCCAAGGTACTTTACATGACAACTAAGGGAAAAGAAACAACACAACTCATTTACTGCGTTTAACTACTACAAATAGGTATAGTAAATAATTCTGTAGAAAAAATAATCAAAATATAATTGTATACTTACCATTAGACATATTTTCTAGTTTCATAAACGATTTTATATCTACGAATTCATCGACATATTTTGTGTTCATACAACTGTACATGTTATAAGTTGTATCTTTTAGATCCATGACGTCATCATTTGGAATGTCGATTGTAGTAGGTTTAATGTCTTCAAAATAATATTTTTCGTGCGCTCCATTGGAAGTTATAATAGCTGAAATAGTTTTTAAGTACACATTTATAAAAAAATTATGCAATAAACAGATAAATAGGTATGATTTTTTAATTTTTTTTTTTGTCTTAAAAACGCTGATTAGATTAGAATTAGATAGGTACATCGTTATTGGCAATATAAATATAAAAGTTTAAAATATTTCTGATAAAACTGGTGCAACGTCATTTAATAGTTATCAAACACATTATACTATTTATTATATTATTCCTTGTAGTTTTGTAGGTCCCTACAAAGAAGAGCTGATGCTGATCCCAATGGTTTTTTTTCGATAATCTATTTATTAAAAAGATAATGTATTATATATTACTTTTATTTATGTTATTATATCGTTAAACAACTATAAAAACTCGTTCCAAATTTAAACCTGGTTGTATAAACGTTCAATAAAAATGTTTGCTGAACCAATAGAGCGTTAATGAATGATTAAAATATTTATCGGTTAATTAAGAGCTCGTTGAACTTGTTGATCCTTTAATTTAATGGTTACCAGCAGTTCATTATATTAGAATAGATACTATTTTAATGTGTAAATACTAAATATTTTAAATTATTTTCACTTACCTGATACGCGATATCTCCTCTTAGTAAGATACACAAGACTACCACAATACACAAGACAATTATCATTTTAAGATAACACAAGGTGCAAAACCAGCAGCTGCTGCGGAAGGCACCTGCGACCTCGAATGGCGATTGGCGAGTGAACGAATATCAAGATTCAAGATTATAATACACCGCCTTAATCTAACAAAGGATATAGGAGATCCAAGGAGAATACAAGTGTACCAAAAAAAAAAACGTCGATGCAATTATTATTCTCATTATCTGTACTGTATAGTATATATTATATCTATATATCCACGCCCACAGGTTTGTACCACGAATATTTTTTTATTACTAACAATAATTTTTTTTACCTTTTAGGGGACAATCTTAAATAAAATCTTATCACGAGTAAATGACCTAAGTAAACATTACATTTGTGCGGGAAGTTGTGTAGTAAATATATATTAACGTCGATTGTTTTATGAGACAGGTTATAGTTTGTAAAACCTATTTTTTCAAAACACTAAGACAGGGGGTCTATTCTTGAAACCATTCGAAAATTATTCGTATACGACCGATTCGTATACGAAATGTTCGTATGCGAATATCAAGAATACCATTTAAAGCAGTGTTATATGACTATTCGTACACGAATAATTTTCTACTGCGGTCACTCAAAGCACTCGAATAACATTCTATTACGGGTCCAATTCGTATACGTTGCAACTACTGGGGTATAGGCAGTAGAATCTATGATTCGCGTACGAATAACGATTACTTATACTCATACTTATACTTATACGAGTACTTTAATCCATAATAACAATAATAATAATTTAATCTACATTATTTATAGTAAATAATATGTGTACTACATAAAATATATATTTAGAGTATAAATGAAATTTACTATGCTATATTATTATTATAGATTAACATAAACGTTTAGTATCAATATGACGTGAAATACTTATATTTGATAATGACAAATTATTATCTTTAAAATTATAATAATTATAAAAATCAAACAATAGTTTCACGTTATGACAATAAAAACTCAATTCATCGTTATATTACTTACATATCTAATATTATATTTATATTTGTTACATATTTATTAGTTATTAAATATGGTATCAAAACATATTTAATAGAATATATAGTCCGCGGGCATATGTAGTACGCCAAAAAATAATAATTGGATGCAACAAATGCATGGTTAGGGTTAATGGTATTACATTGGATTTTATTGTACCTATGTATATTGTATAACTTTCTATTATACCGATGTGACACATATATTGTCCGCCGTAATGATCACATAATTTTCGTATTTTATGCGATATTGTTTACAATAGAAAGATTTCATAAAAATTATTTATCTAGTCTCTCTAGTTAATCCATAAGATATATTATTGTACTTATAATACTATTTGCGGTGTTTGTACTTTGTTAACTACGGTGTCATAATTTATGAGAATGTACTACAATCAAAAACTTTAACTTAATCTTAAAAGTCGAAATTACCAATAGTTGTCAATTTGTATTGTATAGTCAACAGTGTCGACTGTGTAATGTGTTTTACTGAATTTACCATAAATTATTTTAAATAATGTGTCACCTCTATTGTTGACTACGTTTGTCGATATCCATTTATCGTTTAGTGATTACTGCCGGTGTCTGAACATTTCCGCAAGATTATTACTAAAGACCGAGAACCCACGAGATAAGTAAGGTCTGCCTTGTCTAACTATAGGTTTTAAAAAAGCTAAGTATTGTCATTACTGCATAACTTTTTTTTTTAAATGGATGATGATAATGATTTAATAATGCAATTATTTGCTATCGAAGAGTTGGAACAAAGAGAACTTGACGGAGAAGTAACTAGGCGAACTTATGAGCCTATTGATCCTTTTGAATGTAAGTACACAGATTTAATATTTTATGTTACTATTAAAATAGTTATTATATTACTAAAATGAAATATGTCTATATAATATAATATATTATATATTTTAACAATTTGCTGTCATTACTACGTACCCATAATTATTAGCATGCAAGACTGTTTGGAGAAGAATAAAAAAATACAAATTAATTCGAAAATTTCTAATCTATAAATACTAATATTTAGTAAGTACAACTTTCTAAGTTAGTTCTTCCTACCAATAATTTTCATAATAGTAATAAAGTCTTAGATAATTATAATTTTGTATTATTATTATATATTGTAATTAATTATCAACTAAAAAATATTTTCAATACAATATAATGAACATAAATCAGAACCAACCAACCAAATAAATGATTTATTAAAATTTAAACATTACATTAGTGTACTATAGAAAGTTGATAAAGTGCATTTTGTACTAAATACCACCTACTAAATATATAGACTATATTTTATAAAGTATACATTTAACTAAATTTAATTTTACTATTTAGAGTAATCATAAATATTTAGAATTATTAAATAGTAAACCAATTGTATATTTAAATATTTGACAAGATTTTAGACTAGATAATATAATAATTCAGGTAATATAACGTAATTCGTATACGAATGCCTAGTAGAATAGAAAGAGTAATAGAAAACGCAATTTCAAGAATACAGTTTTAAAAAACCAGTAGAAAGTCACATTTCGTATACGAAATGGTAGTAGAAAATTTTCAAGAATAGACTCCCAGATGAATTTACAGCGGAAATTGTTTTAATTTGCATTTTCTTAGTAACATCTTTGGATATACAAATAATGTATCTTTTTCTCAAACAATTTCAATTCGTTCCCTAATGGATCATCAAATTCTTAGAATTCTTTAAGCAATTTGTTAAATTTGCATTGTTTCTTACATTTGTTTTATTGCAGCAAATTACAGTATAAAGATGTACGAAGTTGTAATTACCGTTATTTGTGAAGGTATCTTCGACGTACTCGAGCTTAATTTTTTTCGTTATTTCATCAGTCACATGATTTTCCATTACACCTACAAAATTGTGGACAATTTTATTATCCATGCCAGGTACTGCCAAAGTTGACTTGTGTTCGTTTAATTTGTTAGCCACTTCGGAATTTGTAAGTTCTACAACATGTGAAATGAAAAAAAAAGGCATAAATTATAAAGCCAAAATCATTTATTATATTTACTATTGGATAATGAGCATACAGTTCTAAATAGAAAATAATTTATAAACTAAAAATCACAACAGCATCGTGCTGCTATATTCATACATTCGTATGTTATAAATTATATTTTATTTAAATTTTAAGTAGACAGACGCCTTACGGCCTTTTTATAATTTATGTACAATAAGAAAAAAAAATTATTCACATAACATTAAAATGCCTTATGAGGCCACCTTTTCTCTCGTCAAAATGACCAGACGCATTACCGTTGGGTCTTTGATAAAATCATTTCTTTTACGGATACAGCATCTTCCTTCTGACTTCTAAGCTTTGTGACTTAAGTAATTAGACCTTAATCGTGACGGGAATGAGTATTTTTCAATATTAAACAACCACCAGATAGTGTGGAAATTCTATAAGAAATGATTGCGTTGTCCGCAAATAAAAGTCCTAACCAAACGACAAGTAAAAACACACAAAAAACTACACTATCGTCCAAGATTGTCGATCCACTCTAACCATTACTCCAAATAATACACGGTTGTAAGTCGTAATTGGGGACTATATTTAATTATTCTTCGATATGGATTGGTAGTGGCCTTATCTGTAAATATCGAACCTTAGGGATAATAAACTTCACTTAGTTTTTGGCACAGAAAGAGTCTTCCCAGGATTATTTAACATTTATGCCTTTTACAGTAAGAACAGTTAATAGTATTGACATGGATATGTGTCTTACAGCTGGTGGTCATTCTGAAACTTTCTCCAGCTAGTGTTCTTTATGTCTCATTATCGGTGACAGTATTATCGATGGGGATCAATATTATTATTATTTGATGGCTAATAAAAGTGCTACTGTTGAAAAACCAAACAAAATATATTGATTTTAATTTCAAATCTTTACCAAGTCACAGAAAACGAAGAGATAATTCAAAATCGAAACGCTATTAAAAAAAAAAAAAAATTGTCTACATATTTGTGAAACTAAAAACATATGTTTCCATTTGAATAAAACGAGTTCCGTACATCTTTAACGCATGAGGGTTGAAGATAAATATGTACCTAAAAGTTTAGGGGGAAAAAAGTCTGAAAATATGAATATTTTCAGGAAAATGAGTGTCTTGCCTAAGTTGGATTAACCTTGTAGGTTACAAAATTATATAAATAATTAAATAGATATAGATATGGAGGGTCAGTCTGAAAATAAAGTTAAGAGTAAGACCATATATTATCTAACTGGTCAAGTTAGGTTAGGTTAGCTAACTGGCCAGAAACTATAATTATATGATTATTTCTGATCTATAATCTCCTTGCGATAAATGATGATAGTTTAGTCTTAATCAGGACATATCCATGTATTGATGTATCTGCATGAAGTGTGGATACTCTTAAATGAGTTAACTCAGTTACCAATAGTGGCATGCGTTAACTACATAAGGTTATACTTTGTTTTTTTTCAATTCATTTTCTATCTATGACGGTGTGCTTAAGTAGTTAATGCTTTGGCTCGGAACCCGTTAAAAATAATTTCTTACTAAATTTTGTTTTGCTTACTTTACAATAAGTTAATGTGGGTCATTTGTACCGATTTTCGAATTGGCGTTATTGTTATACAGTTCATAATATAATACAATTTTTTTTCCCCTTAATTTATTGACTTATATTCTACTCTATACTACACCCCCTTAATAAAAAAAAAATATGATCTCATATTTTAAAGTTTTTATATAAAAGTATAGATTTCCTTTTATTTTTTTAAAGGCTGTTTAAGATAGTAAGTACGGATAGATTCAATGATTTGTTTTATCTATATCTCGTTTTGTTTTTCTCAGTTTAATGTTTTAGTTTATGAACATGTATATCTACATTCAACATATATTTATAATGTATATTATGCATGAGAAAAACAAAAATCTTGCATTGATTAACAATTTTTTTTCAATTTCATGTCTCTTTTGCAAATTTAAGAGTAAATTTGTCAAACGTTCTAAGTGCTAAAGTAAAAAATTTGAACATCATAATTTGATTTGTATTTTATTCATTATTGGAAACAGTTTTGTAATTTTTTCAAGTGAGGAATATGAATAAAAAAATGTTTAAGTGTTTCTGGTAATGAATAAAATACAAATCAAATTATTAAGTTAAATTTGTATACTTTGGAACTTGGACCGTTTGACAAATTCACTCTTAAATTATTCTGTTTGTTTGTATACATTTTTTTTAGGGATAAAGAGAAAAATTGTAGTCGGTAGTAGGAAATGAGTGGATTCATGGCATGTTTTTTTTTTGTACAGTTTCTTAAAATTTAAATTCCATTTCTTTTTTTTTAATGTCCCATTTTTTTCTTAAAATTTAATCCCATTTTTCTAAAAGATTTATTAAATAATTTTTTTTTATTAACAAAAATTTATTAAAACTACATCACCAATTACGGCTCTTTTCTTATCCATCGTTTCCGGCGGAACTGCCTTTATTGTTTGGCTCGTTGCGAGTTGGTGAATTGCTTGTTTTCGTTTTGCTTCCCTCTTCTTCAGTCTCCTGATGTAATTTCTTCCATAATATGGTTTTCCTTTTAATAAAAACTTTATCTCGGTCTTCTTTCGTTTGATCATCCTATTGATGTTTTTTAACATTTTCTTTTTTTCTTCTGCGGTGACTATGATAACTTCGGTTTTTTGTGTCATGTTGTCTTGTCAAGTGGACGCGAGACACTAAATTTTGCTTGGGTTACTATTGTCTGTTGTAATATCCAATTGCGATTTTGATCAGTGTCATGTGTTTTTTTTATAAACGTTATTGTCAGTCAATTTGTTGTGTCAGTAATATAATATTATCACATTGTCACATTATCTCTCTCTCTCCCCCCCTTGTTTTTTTTTAATCTATCAACATATTTGTTTAATTTTTAAAACCTACCCTTTTTAATTGGAAATCAAAAACACATTTTGTGAGTTTCACGTCATAAGCCTTAGAAAAAGCTGTATACAGAACATCTACCTGTAAACTAGAGCCAAAGGCGTCCAAAGTTATGCTGGTCAATTGAGAGGATAGGAACAGAATAAATGATATTTATTCGAAATAAAAACTACTTAACCCATGGGTGTATTGTTGAAATTTACCAGTCTTTAATTTCTCTTCTATTATATAACAATTTGGTTCAGCAGATATAGAAAAGGCAAGGATAAGACTTAAGCGTCAATCGCGCCCCCTCCCTACCCCCCCCCCCAAAAAAACTCTTGATACGTATCGTTTATACTTGTATGGGTTATGTAACTTATGAACGATGATTTTAATCTTAAAATAAATAACACAAGATAATAGATGACCTTGAAGTTGATTTTAGTTAGGGACACAATGTGGGTCGCCGTTAAAATCCCATGGGTGGTCACCCATCCGAGGTGAAGAGACGGCGGACGTAGCTAAACTACAGTCTACAATGCCACACCTTTTCCAGATACTGTTACTTGTTGCCTAAAAGGTTAATTAATTGTCATAACGTAGGTATCGACAATCTTGTAGTAAAAATAGCTTCGACATTTTACGACTTATAAATAATATCAGAAATTATATAATAATAAAAAAAGTGAATCGGTCAGATTACCCAATGTGTGCTGTAAATAATCTAGACTTGGATATATAATCGGTTAAAACGTTATTACAGCGGTCGACGACGTTTAGTCGATCGCTTTAAAATCGTTTGTACAGCATAATATATTTTACTATATTTCATAATATTATACTATATTTAATTTGTGCTACAGGTTTTTTTGAACCCTTCGTTAGACAAGGTGAGGCGAATACGACCCTAGAAATGAATGGCTTTTGCGGCCGTACCTATTTACCCCTGGGTTAATTAAAACGTTATTTATTTAAATTTAGCCAGGTAAGTTTTCACAAACGGCTATTTTTTAGTTTATTCGGTCTAGTTTTTTTCCTACATAGGTATATTTTATACTAATATGGACAATAATAAAAATTGTTAAAACTTGTACTTACCGGTAGCAATGCCTTGGGCTGGTATTTTAGCGGGCGAACAAGACTTATGCTTTTGACCGTCATCCAAAGATCGTTTTACCTGCAAATCTGATACAATTACTCGGTTTTCTCTGCTATCCGTTTGCAAACTAGATTTGTCTGTTGTTTCTACCGGTTTATTAGCAGCAGCTGCTGTACCGCCAAAAGTTTCTGGACAATTATTTAAATCAGACATCTGCTGGTGCACCTGCTCGGTCGACCAATGATTGTTTTCCACCTTTAACGGTTTCGATGACCGTTCTGTGTTGTCCGTCACGGTCGGATTCATTCTTGGTAGCCAACGTTATTGGAAAACTTTTATTTTAAAATTTACAGCAGGGGTAAAACAAAAAAAAATTAATGAATGACAAAACAAGCTCGAAATAAATACACAAAACACCTTTGACCGCAATAAACGTCTACGTGTAACTATTGTTTGTCAGGTAACGACAACTGCGGTGTGTTGATGGTTCTCAGAAATAACCGATGGGATTTACCCCAAACGAATAATAATATTATTACCTTGGTAAGAAGTTTATCTTGGTAAGGCACGGCGCCGCACTACACTAAAACTACAGTCGATCGACTTCGGATATAATAATAATTACAATGCACAATGGTCAATGCCGAACAGACGAAATTAGATAACACATTATACTTTTATTATTCTGTTCGATTCGCAGAATAGTAAACACGCCCAGGCGAGTTCTAATAATATAAAGTAATATATTAATTTAAATTATACCACTTTGGTTTGTATACCTAATGTGTGGTATATATGGTTACCGCCAACCGTTGGTTGGTCACAGAGTAAATTATTATAATACAAAACGTTATAATTTTAAATTCAGTAAGCAATTTTTTACTTCCAAGTTGTAACATTATTGTTTTGATTATTGAAAATTGTTTTTTTTCGCTATGAACAAATTTAAATTGTTTACTCGGTATTTTTTTTTTCTAGTAACCTACTTTTGGTGTCAATGGCAAAAAAAAACAGAAACACGCCGTCAACGGTAAAACTATTAAAAAAATAATAATTTAATTATATCACAATATGTTATTAGGTAGGTTTAAACAATATATTTTATCAAAAGTTTAAATGGTCTCGAGAAAATTGTGTGCATCAAGGCCGAACGCGAAACCCTATTTTGTTTAATTATAAGCAGTCGAAAAACTAAAAACTACATATATAGTTGTTTTAAATAAAATGTATACATTTTTTTTGTTATTGTCAATAAAAAAAGGGATGCGTTTTTATTCTAAATGCGATCAAGTAATGTAACTAGAATACATTTTACTGGTCACGCTTAGATTTTATTATAAAATGTACAAAAACAAATTAAATTTTAAATTATATTATTTTAAAAAATATGCGTTTTTACTCCTCAAGTATTGCTGGTAAAAGCGAAATTTCCCTTGCTCATATAATTAACAAAAAAAAATACACATCTTCTAATATGTATTACTTTGTAGTTCGTCATAGAGCAATCAAGTATTTTTTATTTTTACATTATGTTTTGTACATTAAAATATTTTATCAAAACAGACTTCCTTGTTTTATTACATCCAAAAAAACCCAAAATATTTTTTAATTATTAAAACTAAAAATCAAAATTTTACTATTATTGAAAGACACAATTTTTTGCCTTTATAACGATTTTTATGTGGTTGACGTGAAAATGAAGTTTGCTTTAATAGTTCTAAAATTGTAGCCAAACATATGATTTTAAATGCTTAAATTTGAAACATTAAAATAAGTAAAGGATGTATATTTTTTTCATTTATATGGAACAATACTTGACTTGACTTTTCTAGGTGTGATAACTGATGTGAAATAAAATTCAAAATTTAATATGAGAGCAATAATTATACTTAATTTGCTTGATGTGATTTGTTAGAAGTGTGCTTCAGATAACACTATTAGTATAATATTGAAAATAAACTATCCCATTATGAAAGACTAATAAAAACATACTTATTTACAACTGAACAAAAAATCCTGTTTAGGATAATAAGTGGAAACTGGAATGTTAGATTGAAGAAAAACAATAAATAAAAAAATTAATATTCAAAATATAACTCATTTAATTTAATAAAAATAACAATAATGATTAATGTATAAATTAAAAGTGGAATGAAAGAAACAATAATAAATTACAAGTACACATTAGGGAAATAATTATATATTATGAGTATAACCTAATATGACTGTATTAAAAACTGAATTGGAGTTTTTGTTTGTATCAAATTATTCAAATTTTGTTGTTTCTTGTGAGAATAAATTAAATATGCGGTTGAACAATATTCAATTAATACATATTTTATAACAATGTCTATTAAGTATTCTACCAATTCAGTTTAAAATACAATCTTTAGTAATTATTTATACAATATAAAAAAATAGTTACATTCAAAAATAGTTACGAGTTGCATCCCTGTTTTCCGCATTTATCATTTTTTTTTTAAAATTATTTTTATACTCAGTAATTTTCATATCCACAGCCTTCTTTGTATCAAACAACATAACATTTGACCAACATAGTAATGAGGAGAAAAAAAAACACATAGGATAGTATTAACTTAGGACTAGACGCGTAAATCAAATTGTCTCAATATCATATCTTAATTTTGACATAATAATCAACAATGAAATGCACTGAAATGATTTATGATTATGATTATAGTAAAAAAAAAAAAATTAATATTAATTACATTTTTCCTTTAAATAATATAGTGATGACCAGAATGTTTTAAAACAAAAAACATACAATTAAGACGAAATTATAAACTGGCAACAATAATAAAAGACAAACTTAAAATCAGTAAACATAATGAAAGCGTAAGCCCTTATGTTTTTATATTTAAAAAATATATAAAACGGGTAATTAACACCAGGAGAAAAATGGGCTCTTATTTTGAAACCGTTGCGTAAAAGTATCACTGAACGAACGAAACTTGGAAGTCGTTCCTACATGTCCTTTAGATCTAAAAACAAAAAAAAAATCAATTATCATTTTTAATAGCATAAATAGTACACACACACACACACACACACTTTTTATTATCGATAAAAAGTTTTCAATTGAAGAATTTAATCGAATAAAGGCACAACACAGAATTGAAATCGAATAAAATTTGGATTGTTGGATATAGAAACATAAGTTTTTTTTAAAATTATTATTGTTCAAGTTCAATAAATCTAACTTATAATCTTCAATCACTCCAGAGTTAGGTTAGTAGTATTACAAAACTGATCCATAATTGTTTTTAGTCGAAACATTGATTGTTAAGGTTATAAGATATCGGAAATAAATGATCATATAATATAGTAAATATTACATTCAAATTATAGAAAGGTAAAGAAAAAAGAAAATATATTTGGACAATGGAAGAGTACTGTTATTTGAAAAAAATTGTATTCAGCTAAACTATAATATATTTCTTAATTTTTTACCGTTCAACAATAACAGCTGGCATCTGGACGAGTTGTACAGGACTTTTACCGTCTTTCAAAGCTTGCGTTAAGTTTAAAATTTGTCCACGCATTACACTCATCTGCTTTTCAAACATGTGCCTATCAAATCCCTTATCCATCTATAATATAATAACAATATAATTAAATTTATATTCATATATATATATATATATTTTTTTTTTGTATTGTATGATTGAATTTTACCTTGAAAAGTGTATAGAGATCGTCGCATAAATCTTGTACAAAATTCATATCGGACAAAAAAGGTAGAACGAGCTCTTTGGTTTCCTTACTAAATGGAATTTTCGCTTGTGGAAGCCACGCCCAATGATAAGGGTAAGCACGCCAAGAGTCGGGATGTTTGAATGGAAATGCTAAACCATTGTCGATAGCGGCTATTTTTATATCTGGCTCTTGTATAACATTCCATTCCTAAAATCATGTTGAAATTTAATAAATCATTACAAACAATACAATAATAACTAAATTAACAAAAACTGCCAACTTTTTTATACCATGTGATTCATCCTTTTAACAACCCAATGCTCAAAAAGATACAAAATTTGAATATTTTCTAATATTGTAATATAGCATAAGCAAAAGAGTTTGCATAAAGAAAAAAATGCAAAGTATCAGTTGTTTTAAGAGAAAAGAGAGTCGTTAAAAGAATCACCTGGTATATGTATACATATATTATACATGTCAACTTACCGATGAGTTTTCGCTTATTGTTGAGTTGGTTAGACTTGCATTGGGGCTTGAATTTACACTTGGTTGGTCATACCTAATTAGCCAGTTGTCATTACCTCTATCGGTATTACGAATGATATAATCTAAGACAACTAGCTTTTCAAATTGAATTTGAAAACGTGATTGCAGATTTAAAGGTAACGGAGCCAATTCTAATCTTCTTAACCAGTATTCAGCATCTTTGTAACCCTCCATGAACAATTGAAAAGACCCTATCTAAAGTAGTAACACACACATATTACATTGTGGATGATAATTTATACACACAAACAAAAATTTAATAAAATATATAAATAAATTATTGTAAACAGTAAACAAACTTCATATGTAATACACAATTAAACTTCAAAAATGTCTTCTTGGAATGTAACTTGTAGCTGTACAATCTTTATTATTATTCTTAGTATAGTTATCTTTGATGTAAAAATGTGAAAGTAATCTATTTTCATTTATACGTATACAAACAAGATATTAGATAGACCTTACTTTTTTAAAGCAATTCGACCCATCATTTAATGATTAGGTATTTATCTTTATGTCAGTTAAGTAAAGCTGTCGTTTTATAAAAATATTCGGGATTTCCAATAAGTTAGTAATTAAAATATACGATACAGTGAAACCTGTCTAAAACGGAATTACATACAAGAAACTAAAAGAAAATTCCATACTAAGCGCAGTAATTGTCCATCTTTTAATAGGATGTCCCATATGTATTTATATGTTGCACTTGGATATAAATAATTAAGCTATTATAAAAATATTGTCAAAGATAAAGTTTTTAACTTTAAAATGAAACAAGTAAGGTATACAAATTTCATCTTATACAATTTTCAGGCTACTTCAAAGTTCATTTTGGACAGGTTCCGTTCACTGGTATCTTTATGAATTTTATACATACTTTGGGTCTAAGGCCAAGCCTATGGAATCGTCGTCCTAATTTTGGAAAGTGATCATTAATTGCATGTTTCACTCTAGTCTTCTCTCTATCAATTCGGCCATAATTAAATGTTTCACTAACCAGCTTGGCTACCTTAGTCTTTGGCACAATATTCAAACCCAATTTAGTAGAAACTAAACTGGCACCAGCTTCAGACAAATAGCCTTGATTTGGTATTAAGCACGAACGGCCAAAACAACACGGGCAACAGTTTTTATGTAACCATTTTGTCCATTTGGGATTTAATAAACCATACGGTTCTTCGTCTTTAGGTTTGAAAACTCCGATAATTTTCTGAAACATTTAATCTTTTTTATAAAACACTATCTACAATAAGGTAATCAATTAAGTTACTAGCATAAAATAATAAAGTATACAGATTTACAAAAAAAAAAATACTTACGCAACTTGCATCTTTAACAAAGTAACTACCGCTGGATCCTTGATAAATTCGTTCTGGGAACACGCTATTGTCAATAGCGATCTCGGCTTGTTTGATGACCACACTGAAGGCTGGGTCATCTAAGAAAACAAAATGTTTAATCGGTAAACTAAAGTTTAACAAACAACAAATAGAATACTATTTTTAAGGGAAAAAGTTTGCAATAAATATCCATAATTAATAGTATGTCCCAAATATAAATACGTATACATAGCAATTTTATTTGATATAAAAAACAAGCGGACTGTCTAATAATCTTAGGTTTCCAGGGACGGACACAGCATACTTTTCAATACTAGGCTACATACATAAGATGTTCTTAAAATAATAATAATAATAATTAAGATAATGATAAATAACAATATTTTTAAAGAAAAAGTAGTAGTAGGTAATACACATTCACCATACTTATATAGATTTGGAACCGATCTGGAGAACAAATTCTAAGTATTTACCATTATTCACTGTATTGTCGTAACTAATTATATCAGACGTGCTGTCAATGTTGTCGTACATTGCAATTGTGATGGTGTAATAAAAGTGATTTACAATTTACATGTTCTAAAAATGCTAAACAATTTTTAAACAGGTAACTAGAATTGTGTATTGAAATCTACACACAATAGCTCACGACTATATAGATAAATGATTAATGAGTTATTTTAGTGTTAAAGCAGCTATTGTTTTTTTTTTTTTTTATATTAACTTCCCACTTTAGTATTATTGACGCGTCAATACAAATAGCTATCAAAAGCTAGAGGCGTGGCGTTAATTTTTTGTTTATTTTCTGTCACGAATCTAGTATCATTAATACGGTAAAAACATAATATACGAGTTTATCTTTTGTGTTATCTAAAATAAATACCTATAAGATAGTAGTTATTACCCAACTGGATATTATTTTTTTATTTGAAAACTCTACAGAATATGTGATTTTTAACCTTTGATACCAAACCTCCTAACCTTTGATGATAATACAATATAAACCTAATTGGCAATTTATAATATATATATATATTTTATTACTATCAATTTATCTCAATATTAAAAATGTATACTAAAATTTGTAAGATACACGTTGTAAATGCTGAAAATTATTTAAGATAAAATAAGTAGGTATAACTTTGGTGTTGTGTTAGGGTACCATGATTTTTATTTTTTAGTTTGATGACTCATAATTAATGAATTTATTATTTGTAACTATTAATTCCAAGTATAGGCCTATTAATCTGTATTTAAAATAACAATAAAATGTTAACATAAACTATGGGAATCGATCGTGTATAACACACAAACCAAATCAACATTATGAGTCAATAAGTATCTATTTTATAAACTGAAAATTGACAATAGTAATATAGTATTTAGCAACACTATAATTACTCGCATGTCTGGATTTTACAGTAAAATCTAATAAAACTAAAGAGAAATAAAAAAAAAAGCATCAAATGATACATAGGCAATTATTACTCATCTATAGGTAATATACATATTATTACAACCATGTGGCTGTATCAATAATGTAAAATTAATAAGATTTAAAAAAAATGTTCAGCTCTCTCAAATAATTAAAAACGTAGATAACAATCAATGATAGTTATACTTAGTTCTCAATGTGAAATTTAATAGCAAAAAAAATGCATTAAGATAAAGGAAAATGGCCTTGGAGGATGGATCATATTATAACATTATATAAAAATATACCCACTAAGAAATGGGTAGGTTAATTGTTATGGTAAATCTATACCATAACAATACTAAGTTAAGGCAATATTACAGCGTGTAATCTACACTTAATTTGCAAGTTAAAGGCATGTATTTCTGAGTTTTGAATAGTTACGTTCCAGAAATATAGTGTCTTATCAAAACATGAATAGGTTTATGAATGTGATGAAACTTTCATGGATTGAAATATCATGCGGACGAGTTTCAGATTTACCAATGCCGCTGGACTCTGCAAAGAATCCGAATCGTCGGCTTAAAACCAGTAAATAATGGATAAATCTGAAACTCGTCTGCATGGCGAACAGGTTTGCCCCTATGATCAAATACATTTTTTATCTATAGTGACAATCTATTTTCTTTCTCTGCGGTTTCTTTTTTTTTTATAGAGTTTATCGACAACGAACAATTAGTTTTTACAATTTAAACACGATTTACACTGAATTGTTGTTTACCTGGAAATAAATTGTAACCCGGAGTTTGCTCCATACGTCCCAGCAACGGTTGATTCTCCCTATCTTTGGTGTCCAGGTTGTCGCTAGACGGTTGCTCGAAATCAATATCGGGGACTATTGACTGATATACAGAAGACGTTGGCGAATGCTGTTGTGGTTTTCCGTTGAACTGTGAGCTATCCTCGTTCATTTAGAAGTTTTAACACAAAAACCGCACACACAAGGACACCGAGGGGAGGAACAATCGCTGCAGCGCGCCGTTCATAAATCCAATTGTTTCCATGCAACATGCGCTATTGTGTGATGTAGTATAAAACAATTGCAATGATTAATCGCGACAAAAACAACGACAATGATTCTCTTTATATTATATTTTTTTTTGTATACAACAGACCGCGTAGCAGACCAAGTTTAAAATCACATCACACACTCCAGTCCAGTCCATGGGAAACATATGTTATTTTGAAAAATTATTACCCAACATCGGACATGGATCCTTTCCATTATCTCTCTACAACGTTGTCGTATTTTGATAAAGAAAAATGTAACAATGACAGTAATTTATTCCTCCATGAAATTTATCATTCATTTATTCCTCCATGAAACGGCAACGTTGAAAAATAAGAATAATTCAGCAACACCAGTCAGCTCTGATCTCATACAGAGTAGAGCCATCTTACTATCTAGTATACTTGTCTATGCATCTGCCATGCACAGAACTGAAAGTTTAAATTTCACATACAAATCACAACACCTAAGACCTAGATTACCAACGTTACACATAAATAGACTGCTATATTGACTATCGAGTTACTTATTTTTTTGTAAATTACACGTTTACTGTGTAGATCATATTTACATTCTGTTTAGTGTTATATGATCTAAGCCCTAAAGTTACCGGACATCTTTGAGGCGATGTCCATTACACACATATACGACTCATTATTGCTCAGAAAATAATTACAACTATGTAGTTACTTTTTGAAAATTGTTTTTGTACACAAAAATATCACAACATTCCACCCCCTTTCTAAACTTAGGCAATTATTCAAAACTGGTTATCACCCAGTCAAAATTGCCAACAAACTATTCTTCGATGTCGGCATACTTAGGATTAAATTTGTTTTTTTTTCATTCCTTTGAATTCAGCTAAAACTGTTTATAATATTTACAAATTCTCTTCACTACATAGACACAATTTACATTTTTAAGATTTTGCTCTAAACAAGCCGATAAGCATATTTTAATTTTTTAAACATATTTGAATTGTTGCCAATGAGTAATTAGTATTGTGCAGGTACTGTCGAAAATTAAGTGTGTGAACATTTATAATTTATAAATAAAACTTAGTGTAAAACTAATAGCTTCTCTGCACCATAATTAACTATAGACATGTGTAAAACGTAGTTTTATTAATTTGTTTGAAAACAACATAAATAATTGTAACATATTTCGTAATAAACTATACATTAAGTGTAACTCAAACTAAATACTTAAACTACATTGTCTACATTTTTGTTTCCTTAAAGTAAATTGCAAAGGCCTCGTTTGAAATGTAATTACAATATTATACAATAATGATCATTATCTATAGGAACGTTGAATACATAATATTATTTTGTTATAATACTTGGCAAGTTAACTAGTAATTAATATTAATTTTTTTTTTTAAATATTGAATGCATGTCGTACATGTTTAATGTCAATAGGATTATAAAAAGTTTCATAGAAAATGTTTCCGAATAAATAATTAATTTATATTACAAATAAGTTAAGAACTATCGAATATCACAATGATTATTTATAACGTCAACAGTCGTTATATCAGTCGGGTGGTGTAAGCATATAACATAATTATATAGTTATACTCTAATATCCTAACTATATATATATAAAAAAAAATAAACAAACAACAATAATAAGCTAATGAACATTTAGTAACTACTCGAATGATATGTCAGATTTTCATCTATTTGCAGTGATGGCAATTTAACTAGGAGATTCATCAAAATCTGTACTTAAAATATTCCAATTAAATCTTTTATTAATAGAATTGGTTAACGGAGGTACAGGAGGTTCTACAAATGACCAGTTGTTAATACCGTCTGTCGTCAAAGCAACTAACCCACAATACGGAATGTGTTTAACCATTTTTATGAAGTTTTGCTTAGAACGTGGCACTTCTAAGTTTCGCTGCACTGGAAGGTGATTGTGTCCATCATGTTGAAGCTCAATGCGGTTGTTTGCATCGTCAAGCGTAATTGTAGCCTTGGCAGGACAGTAATCATTAGCCTTCTTGTTACGTTGCTTTTCGCAAACCAAATACCTAAACAAAAAGGTAGAGCTTTTAATAAACATTTAGAATTTTGTTATGTTATATACTTACATTTTGTTGCGGTATACACTTTTTTTATAGTATTTATAGTGCAAATTGTCTATGTATACATCGGACTTGTTGTGCACTCCGGGTAGTTTTCTGTAAGTATCTGGTCTTACAAATGGCACTTCCAAGTTTTGCTGCATTGGAAGGTGATTGTGTCCGTCACGTTGAAGCTCAATGCGGTTGTTTGCGTCGTCAAGCTTAATTGTAGCCTTGGCAGGACAGTAATCATCAGCCTTTTTGTTACGTTGCTTTTCGCAAACCAAATACCTAATCAAAAAGGTAAAGCTTTTAATAAACATTTACAATATTTTGTGATGTTTGTATACTAACATTTTGTTGCGGTATACACTTTTTTTATAGTATTTATAGTGCAAGTTGTCTATGTATACATCGGACTTGTTGTGTACTCCGGGTAGTTTTTTGTATGTAACTGGTCTTTGAATTTCTAAAAAAATAATAGATTTACAAATAATTATAAAGTTAACGTATTATTTCCACTAAATATTTATTACCGATAGCCGGTTGATCTTCATCATCTTCGTCCGTAAGCATGCCATCAGCAATCAGAACTAAAATCAAGTTTATATGTTATTATTAATATTGTAAGCCAAATTTAAATATTTTGATCAAAATTTCATAACCACGAAGTGTTTACATTATCATTATAATTAATTTTTCACCATATAACACAACGTTCGAATAGTTAATTACAATTTAGATGATAAAAAATATGTCATTCTCTTTTTTTTTTTGCATATAGTTATTAATTACCTTTATCAAATCCGTCTTCAGAATCTGAATTGTCTTGCACTACATCTAATTAAATACATAATGTATTAGATAATTTAAAAGTATATTGTATTAACAATAAGATATGTTACGAACAAATATAAGAAGAAGTACGCTTTAATTCACATTGCAAAACTAAAAGGAGCGACTTCTAAGATACAATTTTCTGATAATTACTTGGAATGTAGTAGTTGTGTTCGATTAGGTGCTCAGGAACAGCAATTTCATCCTCTACTCTATTGTAATTGTGATCATTTGCATCAACAATTTGAACAGCATTGATGTCCATGTCCATCTATTATTTCAGTCGGTAATAATATAATATTTAGGCTGTGGCCATTCAATATCGTTATCACTGTCTCTATCAAAAATATAGATTATGTTATAAAACTATTCAATTATTATCAAGACATTATTTATAGTATAAATATTTATAGTTATTAAGCAATAGGGGGTATTGTTAGGGGTTAAACTTACTATAAGGCTAATTTATTGTTTATTTGTAGAATCTATAACTATTTACTGCATTATACTCTGCATATTATAAATAATGATAACGGTGTCTGGACTTTATAATAAAATTTATATCGAACACCACATCATTGTATAATGTATACCCAAACAAAAAGAGTATTCAATATGTTAAACATCCTTCATTTGAACGCATTATATTTATATAATATCACTTAATACAATATACAGATACAAATCAGAGAGAGTTAACGTGTCTACGAGAACAGTTTTAGAAAAAATACATTTGGTTTACTTAATTTACTTTATTGTGTCAAAAACTATACATCTAAAACTAATGCATTCTAGAATTGGCAGACTGATAGAATGTGATTTTATATTTTGATGTGTCGAGGTTGGTCACACTGATAAGATAAAAATTTGTAATATCTTTTGGAAGAACTCTTATAATTATTCAAAACTGGCGACCAGTCAAAATTGCCAACAATTTATTCTTCGATGTCGGCATACTTAGGATTTAATTTGTTTTTTTCGTTCCTTAGAATTCAGCTAAAACCGTTAATAATATTTAAAAATTCTCTCCACCACAAGACAATTTACTTTTTTAAGATTTTGCTCCAAACAAGCTGATAAGCATTTTTTATTTTTTTAAACATTAAAATGTTACTAAATGTATATATTACTGTTATTATCTTATTGTTACATTAATACATTAGTATAAAAGACTTATTTAAATTGGTACCAATGAGTAATTAGTATTGTGCAGATACTGTCAAAAATTAAGTGTGTGAACGTTTAAAATTTATAAATAAAACTTAGTGTAAAACTAATAGCTTCTCTGCACCATAATTAACTATAGACATGTGTAAAAAGTAGTTTTATTAATTTGTTTGAAAACAACATAAATAATTGTAACATATTTCGTAATAAACTATACATTAAGTGTAACTCAAACTAAATACTTAAACTACATTGTCTACATTTTTGTTTCCTTAAAGTAAATTGCAAAGGCCTCGTTTGAAATGTAATTACAATATTATACAATAATGATCATTATCTATAGGAACGTTGAATACATAATATTATTTTGTTATAATACTTGGCAAGTTAACTAGTAATTAATATTAATTTTTTTTTTTAAATATTGAATGCATGTCGTACATGTTTAATGTCAATAGGATTATAAAAAGTTTCATAGAAAATGTTTCCGAATAAATAATTAATTTATATTACAAATAAGTTAAGAACTATCGAATATCACAATGATTATTTATAACGTCAACAGTCGTTATATCAGTCGGGTGGTGTAAGCGAGATTAATTTTTTATACGACATAAATAGTGTTGGTGGCAATATGTAATTATTAAAATAATTTCCCATCTATTAAGTATTTATAAAAGTTTGGAAAATATAAAATAGTAATAAATAAAAAATAATATTAAACATGTTATTAAACTTGAATAATAAAACTAACAATATTATCACGGACACAAAAAACAAAATTGATGCATACTTTAGTGTTGTATAGTATCAACATTTTAATACAACGTTGAATACAAAAGTTCACATAAAATTAACTAACAGTATAAATCATTATATTATTTTACAAGTTTAGGCTCATTAAATAGTAAAATATACTTTCTATTATCTACATTCAATATTTACAAAATATATACTAGTGTTAAAACAAATCTTCTAATAACAACAAAACTGGTTTATCCGGTTTGCATATAATTGCCTTTAACAATAATAAATAATCAATCTAAGTCAAAATAATTAATACTACATTTTAAACTAAGTAAAACAAGTTTGGAAACAGCTTCGGCAGTCCATGTTGGGCCATTGCTGGCCCCTCCTAGGGAGGTTTATTAAAGGATTCACTATCTGGAGAGGGTTGTTAGTGAGTGAGTATAACCCGTACATAATTAAATAATTATACTCTAATGTCTAAACTATATATACATAAATATATAAAAAAAAACAAATAACAATGATAAGCTAATGAACATTTAGTAACTACTCGAATGATATGTCAGATTTTCATCTATTTGCAGTGATGGCAATTTAACTAGGAGATTCATCAAAATCTGTACTTAAAATATTCCAATTAAATCTTTTATTAATAGAATTGGTTAACGGAGGTACAGGAGGTTCTACAAATGACCAGTTGTTAATACCGTCTGTCGTCAAAGCAACTAACCCACAATACGGAATGTGTTTAACCATTTTTATGAAGTTTTGCTTAGAACGTGGCGCTTTGTGAAGTAGCGGTCTTGATAGTGAATCCAAAGAACAAGCGTGAGCAACTAATAACATATCACCTCCTGTTGAAAACAATCAATGTTAACATGAATATATTAGGAAATAAAAAATTTTATCTCATCAATTATAGCTTACCTTTATTTTCAGTAGATTTTATAAATGCTTGTACGACTTCATCGCATCTCATGTAATATTGTTCGACAGTTTCCGACACATTTTCTAATAGCAAAGGCAGTGGTACTAAGGGTGAATACTTTGAGTTGATATTGTAACCAGCTGCTATAAGTTCTTCATTGGTCATCCAATCGGGAAGTCCGGACCGATTATACCAGCCCAACCATTCAAATAAACCAGGTTCCACACAAATCATCACGTGTTTTTCAATATCTAAACCTGAGGTATTTGATATTAGTACACATTTCAAAATATTATCAGTTAAATTTCCATAAACAATTCATTTCAACATACCAGCAAGAATATTATGACATGTTTGAACACAACGTAACGACGGCGAACAGTAGACGTGCTTAATAGCTTTAGTCAAATGAGCCGCTTTCATACCCCACCCTGTGAGTTTGGCTTGATGTTCACCAACACAAGTAAGAGGACAGTCAGTTTGAAAAGAATTTGGAAAATCTCGTCGTTGAGGAACATTAGGAGGCATGTTTAAATCTTTTCTAACGTATTTCCCATCAGAATCAAAACTATACGGCACCCATGTTCCAAAAGTAAAATCCACTCGCTCACCGTGACGACAAATATATATTTTACGAGGCTTGGGACCTTTAGACGAATCTAAATGCAAGATAAAATCGACCGAGTCATGGCCAGCACTGTGTTTGTCGACTACTTTTCCATCAGTCACACAGACGTTGGAGATATTTGTAGTTTGATGATAACTATTGTCCAAAGGAAGTGAGCTGCAAAAATACAAAAATTGAGAATGTTTTTTTAAAATTTATTTATTTTTTAATCAGTATTACCAGTGCAATGTCCAAGTGTCAGATTCGGCCGTTCGTTCAGTGTAGCACAGAGGAAAAAAACCAGTACAACCTTAAATTAAGAATAAATAATTTACACAACTATATTATTTATTCGGGAATGAGATCTTATAACCGTTTTTACAAACAAGTAGTGAACACGTTGTGTAACAGTTAGTCAGTGTCTCAATTACAGAGGGCGCTGGATATACTCAAAATCTTAAAACTTGTCATTGAAGGTAGTGATGTTAAAATAGGATACATTTTTATTATGTTTATTGTTTTTAAGAGATTTTTGTTCAATATGATCAATTGAATAACAGTTGTTTAAAATTATAGAATTTGTATTGTATGTAGGAGCCTCTGAAATTGCAACACTGCTTACACCGTACATTTGAAACACAATTATTTTATTACCGGTTAACCAAGAGGTTCCTTCTGCCCATCCGTCAACAGAGTTTTCAACAGATTCTTTTGAAACATAAATGTAGTCCCCGATTCTTAATTCCAATTCATCTGTAACTTGAGGAATATGTGCAAATATAACCTTGTACACCTGTAATATAGTAATCGGTTTAGAACTATGGCATTTAGAACAATACAGTTTTAAAATGTCTTATTAATGTAGTGTTTTAACCTGTTTATTAACTGCTCTCGATTCTCGGGAATATAATTTCACTTCCCACAAACACGGAACAGAAGTGTCGATTGTAGATTTGATAAGTGATTTTAATGTATCTTTTTGGTTGATATCAAATTGGTAAGCTAGGGTAAGATGCAAAGACTTGATATGGGGATCTACTTGTACTTTGACTGAAAATAAAGTTCCACCATTAGTTTCCAATCACTTTTACTCGGTTAGTTATTTAATTAACCGAGTTATTATTTATAACAATGTGAAAATGAAAAATGTAATCTTAAAAATTTACCAAGTTCTGTCACACGTTCAGCGAACAATATGGCTATTTTTTTTAATATGCTCGAGCCTTGGTCGCCGAGAAAGAATCCCATAAAATTGGAAGATGCATACGATTCCAAATGAAAACTATTGGTTGTCATTTCCTGTATCAGTTTATCTATAACATTCTTCAATAAAGTCACTAACACATCGGCAAATTCATCAGGCACCTGTGAAAAGTGAACTACAATAAATATTCATGTTACAAAACAAAAATAAATTTTTTCGTATAGTACAGGTGATAAACAACTGTATTTTTATGATACGGGTATTTAGAGAAATTTCGTACTTGAAAAAACGAAACCAATGTGATGTGTGGTAAAAAGTTATGAGCCCCGTTTCGACCGCAAATGCTAGCCGATTTATTCCAAAACGTTTCGAGTTCTTCCATAAAAGATCCACTTGGACAAGCATACAGAATATACTCTCTGAAACTACTAGAGTCTAACGTTGTATCATTGACGTGTGCCAAGAGCCAGTCTGCGGCTAATTGTACTCCTCGATTTCCAGTGGCGGCCAACGCTTTTTCTCTAAACCCAGAAAATACAATTTTAGGTACACAGTGATTAGCCGGATACGTTCTACACAATTTCTATCATCTATCGCCACATAGACACTTATTACATTATCATCTATTCAACTCACGCTCGGTTAGGAGGAAAGCCCATTTGCAAAAGAATCTGAAGAGGAGTCGTCGTCTGTTTAGAAATACTCTCAGAGGATATGCTCTTCGTTTTTCTGGGTGGAAGCATTGCCATAATAATATTGTGTATGATTATTCTGCGTTACATAGACATTATTCTATGTTGGCCCGAGCAAGGGGATTGATTTCAATTTTGAAAATTTTAATTTATTTGCAACCAAAGTATTGACATTTTTTTTTTTTTAAAGGATCCGCATAGAAAAGTATTTGATCAACACGCAAGTGCTGTTACTTAACGAACCGACAGCCACGAAAACTGCGAAAATACTGAAATCTCAACTGTTGTGTTACACCGACATTATAGGCATACGTATCACAGTTTTAACAGTTTTAAGGTTATCTTTTGAAGTTGTTAATATATTTTTTTTTCATATTTATTATCATCTTATCGTGTATTCAACAATCAACAATGATAATACCACGAAAACTTGCATGTGTTGAGTTCTTGGCGGTTTTTGAATTTTATTTGTTGATTTTTTTGTAATCGTTTTCAGTCGAGAATTAAAAAATGGCTCAAGGAATGGTATTTGAAGACATTTTCAATGTCAAAGACATGGATCCCAATGGCAGACAATTCGATCGAGGTAAAGTTTTAATATCTTTGATTCACAATAATTGTCTAAATAATAGTCGAATGGATCATTTGAGAAACGCTTTAAGTCGCTGAATCTAAATCTTACAGGACAAGGAAAACATTTCTTCTTACCAATAGTTTTTTTTGTGAACAACTCAAAATATACAAATCCCCCTATTTGAATACATCCCCCTAGATTGAAAGAAAACTCTGCGACAAAAGAGGTGTTTTTCCATAGAATTTGTGTCTGCACTTGTAGTATGAAAACAACAACAAAAAACGATTTTGGCTAAAATTGAGACTTGTGGGGTTTCTCAAATGACCAATATTCAGTTGTTCCCATATTGTTGCATTGCGATTCAAGTGTATTCAATTGGTTTTTAATGAATTTTAGACATAATTAATATGGTTCGTCTTTTCGTTAAACTGTCTAAAGTGCAATCTGATTTGTCCCTTCACCAAGACTATTAATGAAATATACGATACATACATGTTTCTATTTGTTTACTTTGTGCATTATTATAGTTAGTTGTACACTAAATAGAATATAATACCAACAAACAATTGATACTTGCTTATATATTATATAGTTATAAAATCTATATTATTTGAAATTTAACAGATTAGTATTTACCCGGTAAATGAAATATACGTATTATTTTTTTACTTTACATTATATAAATAGCGTATCTATTAAATATTATATACATATTACCTAGCAAATCAAATGGATAAACTTAAAAGTATTAATTAATTGAATCATATTATGTTGTACATTATGTATAATTAATTATCTGATAAAAGTAGTTTTTTCAACTTGGCACTTAATAATTTTCAGAAAAATTCTGAAGAAAACTCTTAAGAATTAAAATTTACTTACTAGGTACTTTGTATTACTAATGAGTAATTTCATACTCAAATGAGTTCTTGTATATTGCCAATTGAATTAGGTATTAATATAATATTTTTTATTTTAATATACAATTAAAAAAATAGTATAATAACTAATTCAATTGCCATTAATTATTCTCAATGTCTTAAAACATTTGTATTTTAGAATAATCTTTTATTTACCCATGCATTGTAGTATTAGAATAGTTTTTAATCTAAATACTAATATATTTAAATATGAATTTTCTTAAATATGTACTTATGTACGGATCAGGTTAGTGCCATGAAGAAGGATTTGTTAGAAAATCTGTACTCTAGTATTGAACCTTGATGCTATCTTACCCACGCCACACGACAAGAATAAAGTTCAGTAGTTCTAACGTAATATAATATTGTTAATCAAACTAAAGTTCTCTGCAAAGTTCACCCGCAATTTCTTCAGCCGGAATTTTTTTTTTTTAGATTATTGACATAAATTACCATTTATAACATTACTGAAATTTAACATGAAAAGTGTTACCTTCCTGAAATAAAATTTAGGGATAGTGTGGGAATTGTATAGAGTACTTAGACCTGATTAACATATTTTTTTTTTTTGTTGTTAGACTAGTAGGTATATTAAAATGATTTCAAAAATGCATTATTTTTGTTCAATTGAGTTAAAAAGTTTTGAGTTTTTGGCCTTTATGAATTTTTTTTTAAGGTGATAACATTAAACAAATCGAGAGAGGTGTTTTTTTGTTTCAAAAAACAAAACAAAATAAATATTACAACCACTCTTTTATTTTAGCAAATTCAGATGACCTTTTTCAAATGTATGTAAGTTTGTCCATTGCATTCACCCTATAGTGTAAAAATTGTATGTTAATATTTTATACTGCTTTTCACTATATAACTGTCGACACCCCACTCAAAAGAGGTAGTAACACCTTTCTCAAAATTTTGGACAAAATCGAGAAACGACTTTTTTTTTTATTGGGAGTGACGACTTATGTTTTCATTTACATTTGAAGATTGATAAAAATATTATGCCCAAATAACAACCATTGCTCATCTAAGCTATAACTAAAAATAGGAATCCCACATAAAATAGGCCTATGACTGGCTTATCTGTGCAAATAATAAAACCAGTACCAATACCTGTAACTTTGGTAGGTAATAGTTAAGACAGCGCAACACGTCCATTGTGTTTTTTGTAAGAATCTTTAAAAACTTTTATTTGCATTAAAATTAAAAAATTCTATTAAAAAAACGTCACAACATGACAAGTAAACTATATCTTATAGTATAGAAAACTATATTTTAACGACGGCTTAGAAGGGGAAGTCATGTGATCAACTGTTCCCCTCATTGATTTTGTATATTATATAAAAAAAAATATTTTAAGCGTCACCGAAATGTTGAAAATCTATGACGTTAATTGAAATAGATTAAATATGATGATGATGTACAACTGTCGAATAATAATGGAAAACAAAATAGTAAAAACGTTGTCAATTGACGCTATTACAGCAAATTGAGATTCTACGAAAATGTTCCAATTCTAAACGCCTTAATAAATTAGTTATGATTGGTCTCGCATGATGACATAATGCGAGACAATAGGTGGAATACAGTAATATTTTTCTTAAAAAAGGTAATTTACAAATAAAATAATTAAGAAAAAAAAATCCTAAGATCGTCTACACAAATTTTGAAGAAAAAAGACTTGCACTTCGTAAAAAAAAATGTATACAGTTATAACAGATAAAACTCACATCGCAATACTCTCTTGAAAGAAATATTTTATTGGTTTGTTAATCAGTTACTAAATTGATACAATGTATAACTATACAAATAAATACATATTTAACCTAAGAATGCACAGCCAGTATTTTGGTTCAGCAGCAAAAAAATGTCTCTGTTAATGTTTTTTTATGTAGAAATCGTTTCATAATTATCCAGTAATTTATAACTGCTAAAAACGCACAACAATTCCAAAATCAATACAAACACATTGCGTTTTTGGTCTATTTGTATTTTCTTATCGTTTGCCTCGTTGTTCCTAAAAATGTAATAAATTATTCAGCTATATACTATTGCTAAGATAATCCATGCAAAATATTGACAATTTATGAGGAGCATGTAGAAAACATTGATTTGCTTGTGCCGTTAATTTCGTACCATGCTTGTAAATAAATAATCATTGATTATTTCATCGGCCATGAAACTAGCCATCGCAGATCGCCATTTCTGTTGAAAAATATATTATGATAGGATAGATGTCTGATATTAATTATTTCATTGTCGTTGTTTGATCGCAAACATGGCTAGTGTGTTTTTGACGACGGTACCCTTTTGGGTGGTTTTAATCGTAGTGAAAACATAAAAAAAAAATATTCTACTACGATGCCTCAATGTCAAAAGGTCAAAGGGTGTGTCCGCAGCAGTCGCGTGAGTGGTTTTGATTTCACCAACAGCAAAGGCGCATGTCTGCGTGGAGGACTGTCATGGTGGTACGGTAGGAAAATCGATAGAGCCCGCGAGCCCGGGTTTGGACACGGTCAAGGTCTTCACCGTCACCCCTCCGGCTCAACAGAGAATACCGCCGACTGCCCTCCCCTACTTTGGCCTGCTGCCGGTCCATTTCAATAAAATTCCATTGTAGAGCCACGCCCACCGACACTCTCCTATGGTCTAACCTAATCTAACGACCAAACCTCACCACTGTCGAGAAATGTTCACAAAATTTCAACAATAAAAATAATGATAAAAAGCGGCACTTAAGCGGCGATTCCTGTCGATAATGTTTAAAAGACGACGTTTGAACACTTCGTATATTGTTTTGACAGTCAGATGATTTGTTTAATTTAACATTAGTATGTACTAAGATAGTACATAGTGTCCGTAACATTCGCATGTATTTCATTGTATAGTGTTGTTATGTTATAAGTCCATTTCAATGTACCCAATACCTTTAGGATTTTTCACTATAAGCCTTTGAGAATGAATAGCAATAGTAATAATAATAATTTAAAATAACGTCTCTAGAAAAAATAGGTACTACATCAATTTACCTGATTATTTAGTTATATAATATGTACCCAGGCATCCTCGAGTAATAGATTTTCATTGTTTTACGCCTTTTATCCGTCAAGAATTATTTTATTGATCAATGCACAAAGTTGAATGCTTTAAATTAGCGCGGTGAATTTTGTAGTATAATTTATAATTAAATACAAATGAAAACTTTATAATATTTTATAGTAAAAATGCATGTGCAGTACTTTGTAGTGCTCTGAGATTTAACTATGAGTTTTAGACCTCATATGTATAACTAAATTATATACATTTGCTAAACACTCCAGTGTAGTCTAAATTAAGTTTAACATTTTATTTACCTCACCACTATGGAGAAATGTTCACAAAATTTCAAAAAAATTATCAATAGCGGTACTTAATTAATTTAGACTCTTCTCGTTTATGTTTAAAAATAAAAAAAAATAAAATCTTTTGGATTTAGTATTATTACTACAAATTAAATTGTATAAAATTACCTTGCTTGTTGAGGTATTCTTTGAGTAGTTAGGTTGTATAAAAAATGTACCGATCAAACTACTATCATTATGATCGACACCTTTTGAAAGTATTTGTGATTAATGAACCTCTCATAATATTTACTAGCAAAAGTATCTTATCTAATATAACTACCACGCACTCAAGAGTGCATATAAAATAAATTAAAAATAAGGTGACACTGAAGGACTACATGCACAATGAGTATAATTCAATTTGGTTAAATTCGAACATTCTATTACAGTTGCATTTTAATAAATATGTATATATTTTTTAAATGCATCACTTGTAAAAACAATAAAATTATAATTATAACAATTAGAGGTGTAAAATAATATTTCCCAAAGCACTTACATTTCAAACTAATTTTCTTCAGTAGTTGTTATTGCTAGAAATGTCATACTTACAGAGGAAAATTAATTTACCTCTAAAAACTATGATTTTCAATTTGTTTGCTATTAATCATACTGCTGCAGTGGTTATAATTTGTAAAATATAAACACTGTCTGTCATTCTCACGAAAAACATTTACAGCAAAAAATATTTTTTAATTTGACAAGTTGT